TACATCCCAAGCTTGTTTGAGATGTTGCTGGTTGACGGCCATCTTAGTTGCCTCTGCAGGCGCGGTGAACTCGACCGCCTTCGTGCTGTCCCTGTATATGGAATTCTCGACTGTCCTATCCGATAAGATGAACGGAAGACAAACGTTGCCTCCAGTATCCCTGCTTCTTGTGGAAGTCTGTCGCCACTGAGGAGCTTGGAGATCAAGTTGTCGTAGCGAGCATGCTGAATGCGATGATGTATGAGGCTCTGCGAGCGATTGCCATCAGGACCACGTTACATGAATGGCGTCGACGCGTACCTTGTTCACAGTGGGCACAAACACAGCAAAGTCTGAACCGAGTTGTGTGACCAGCGAGCAGAGTGCCTCCATGACGGTGTTGCGCAGCTCCGCATTCGACAGCACACGGACGAGAGGATGGATGATACGAGATGCATGGTCGGAGAAGTTGACCTTCCTCGATAGCCCGTCAATCGTCTGTATCGCTCTCTTGCGCAGCGATGTAGATGCATCTGTTCGCTCGTGGGTCCTCACGATTATTGGGATTACAAGTTGCAGATACTCTTCAATATTGGAGCCAAAGGTGAGGAATGCATCGAAGATCTTGGTCTGCGTGCTCATGGTCTTCTCAGTCAGCTCGCTGTCGAAAACTTTGAGCAGCAAGGGCAATATGGTGGGCAAGAATGGTCTGAACTCTGCATCGAGGGCCTTCCCCAGTGCTTCGATGAGGGACACCAGAGGAAGATGCAACGAAGCATTGTCCCAAAGGTCCGTAATCAGCGCGAAGATGTCAGGCATGTAGTTGCGGACATGCTGCTTGATGATGCCGACGAGGATAGCCAACTGCTCTAGGTGGAAGACCTGGATTCGAGAGACGGATGTCCTTGCAACAGCAGCGAACGCGGGGATGATCTAGATAGTATCATCGAGGCCCGCTCTAGAGGCAGATTCACGTTACACTTACCTGAGGCAGGAACGTGGCACACTTCAAGCCCTGCGTCTTGAAAATCGACATTATCGCCTCAATGACTTTGTGATGTCGATCCGCCGCCTGTTGATCCTTCAGGATGTCGAGAAGCGCATTGATCGCAACGGTCTGATAGTAGTCATCCGTCCCATTGCTGACCCCAATATAGTTTCTTGTAACGGCGTTGACGAGGTTGGAGGACGTCAACTCCGACGTCACTGCCTCCTCGTCCGGCTTGATCTATGGATGGTTTCAACAAGTCAAGGAGCAACAAGGGCACCGCCTATCCTTACCTTGCGCCGATACGGGTCCAGAGCACCAAGTATACCAAGGACTTTGATGATCTCTCTCCTGACGGTCTGCTTCGTCTCCGTCCTAAGGATCCTACTGAGGATTTGCAGGAGTTGCGGGTAATCAATGAGGGGCGACACGACATAGCCGGTGCTCGAGCAGACTTGACCGAGCGTGTGCAACGCTGCGTCACGCTTCGGTAGGGATGCGTCTGCTAGTCTTGACATGATGACCTGCATAAGCTCGGGAACGTGAGGAAGGACTTCCTCGCCCCCGACCCGCGTCAGCTCTCCGAGGGACATGAGAATGTTTGCAGCAACGGTCGGGTTCGGGTCATTCGCCTTCGGCAAGAGCACCTTGAGCATCGGGATTGCGTAAGGCTTGATCAGGCGGTTAGTAGCGGCGACGAGAAGCGTTAGCAGCCGTGTGCACTCCTCCCTACCACGACTGTGCACAAAGGTGAATCCAGTATAATGCAGTATTGACAAAGCACTTACGAAACGGTCGAGTACTCTAGTTCAGTCAGCAGTTGGATGAGCGTCTTTCGGAGGGACGGCATCACGTAGGCAGGATTGTGCATTGCAAGGCGGCCAATCAATCCAACGGCAGTGACTCTGTTCTCGAACACCTCGTCATTGACAGCAATGAAGAGAGCGCGGACGTTCTCCGCCTGAGCGAGATGCTTGTCGAACCTCTCATGCAGGGAGGAAAGCACAGTCTGCCTGATGGTCGGGTCTATCCGAAGACTTCAGGGTTCGAAAAGATGCATTATCGCAGAACATAACGTACCTGGGTCTGCGATTCCTAGCGTGAGCAACTTGTCGATCACGTCGCTGATGATCTCGATGGAGTGGTTGCTCGCCTGGTAGACGATAGGGTCCCGGACGAAGAGACGACAGCAAGTCTCTGCTGCTGCTCGCCGCACCTCCGAGTTGTCCTCGCCCAAGTATGGTAGAACGCAGTCACGCACGAACTCATTCAATGTATGACCTAGAACACCCAGGGCATCAAACAAGCGTCTCGGGCATTGCCAGCGTACGCACCACTGAAGTCGAAGTCCCGCAGCGTAACCAAGGCAACCGTGATGAGTTCGGGAGTCTTCTGAACGGACGCGCCCTGGAACAGGTTAGGCGTCGCTACATCTTTGCGTTCACACGTTCACTCACATCCGCGGTAATGACATCCTTTGAGCCAGACTCGGTCCGAAGGATAGACGCGGGTGCGCCGAGTGGTTTGTAGTGCTGTCCACTAAGTAGCATGGAAAGCATATCCAAAAGCCGATCTTCACGTATGTCAGCAACCATTGGAAGTAGCAGGGAGCGGGTGACGATACCTTGAATGGTCTTGAGAAGGGGTGGGATGTGGGTGGCGATAGCGGTGAGGGCCTGTCTCAACGGTTCACTGGGGCCACAATTGAACATGAGGTCCAGTTGGTCATGCAGGAGCTTGGTGAGGTTTGGTCCGACTGCAGATGCAAGCATGCCAACACATTGGAAGATTGGCTCCTCTGACGGGGCGTTCTTCTTGCTGCTCGCATGAGTGAGATAGCGGTCCCAAATCACGAAGAGCGATGTCGATGTACGCACCCACGCATTTGCAAACCCTGTCTGATATGGTGCATGATGGACTCAAGGAAGGGCTTCATTTCGCTGCCCATTGCAGTTGCGACATGTCCAATCGCAATGAAGGCTACCGAAACATGAGGGCTCTGTGAAGTCGACTGTAAAAAACGGTAATGTACCAACTGAACGTTCATTAGGCTTGTCCAGTTGCGTGAGTAAATGAGCCATCGCTTGGTGTAGATGATGCTCCGAGAATGTATGTGGGTCGTATACCGCAAGAGTGGGAATGAGCGTAATGACCATCTTGCGGACGAGGGCATCTCGATGGGTCTTGAAACCCAGAATCAAAGCAGCAGCATCGAGGAAGTTCTCCTTCATAAACTGTGTGATTGGAAGGATTCAGTACATACATGAGGTTGATTACGGTATAAGCAGTCACGCTGACCATGCCTCCGTGCAAGAGCAACTCTCTGTACGTCAAGAGCGAACCATGGATGATCTCCGGTTGAGCCATTTTGATACCCATCTGAGCGTCCTGCAAGATCCGCACCAAGAAAGGACTTCGTGCCTGTCGCTCCCGTAAAGTGATGATTTCCAGGCATGCCGCAAGTAGTTCAGCGGCGCTTTCCCTGACGATGACGCGCGTGTCGCGGAGAGGGACAAGGATCTTGTCGAAGACATCCCCGATGTAGCCGTGGAAGTAGGCCGGACTATTGCGCGCGAGCTCCTTGAGGATAAGCACACCAGCGTATCTTCCAGCCTCTTGTTTCTCGGCTTGCAACAATGCGATGGCAGCCTGGACTTCATAGTCGAGCCAGCGGTCGCCGAATGTAGCTCCGCCCACAGCAGCAATGTGACCCAGTGTCTTAGAGGCGGCAAGCATAACGTTGATGTCGGAATTCGGGAGGAGGGTTTTGACATAGTTGTAGAAGCGATACAAATTCCGTTGAGCCTCGAGTGCACCCTCGCCCTCGGCATTGAGGAGGTAGTCTGATGCAATTGGTCAGAGGTCGCTAGACGAGGGAACACGTACTCACCAATAGCCAGGATGCCACCAAGTTTCTCCACATTGTTCTGACTATGAACCAAGTCAAACAGTCGTCTATTGATCGTCTCCTCCCAGAGTTTGGCAGAAGCATCCGAGGACGCGTCGTGGACCGAGTTCGATACCTAGGAGCTGTGAGCAGCCCGGGATGCAGCCCTCGCGGGGGAGTATACTCACATAACGTTGCAGGTCGATCGCGGACCGCAATCGGACATCGTGACTCTTGCTCCTTAGGCCCTGAAAGATCTGGTCCAGCACATCTACCTGCGCGCCGCTGGTAGAAGCCATGAGGGAGAGTCCACCGCTGCACTTCGCAGCCCAAGCAAGAGAATCTGAGATGCGGTTATTACGCACAGGCGCGCGATCCGGGTCTCAGAGGCACGTGATTCTTCTTGCCTACGTCGATTCCTGGGTCATCTCGTTTCTCGTTTCTGGGCTGATGATGAGCAAAAAGTGAGGAACCCTCCCAGCGGCCTGGTGCCAGTCTAGTAGTATGATTCGGACTGTACTCGAAATGTCCAAGTCCGGAGCTGTGACGGGGATGGACATAGTGGGAGGCATGCCGAAGGGGAAGTGCGAGGATTGTATCAAGGGCAAGCACCCTCGCGCACTGGCACCGTTCACCTCATCCAACGTCGAGGCAGAGGTTCTGGTCCTCATACGTATCTGACCCTCACACTGATAGCCGATCCGAAACCAGTGTCTTGTAGTGCATGAATGGTGGTCTCGTACCCATCCGTGTGGACGCATCCCACCACCTCCACACGGATGGGTAGTACGAGACCAATGAATGGTCAAGGTCCACACACCTCAGGCTGTTCAGTGCTCAGCACCTAGCTAAGCCTCTCCCACCTCTCGCGCTCTGCCAGGTCTTTGCGCAATTGTCCCTGCTGCACCATTCTATATCGTGACACCTTCCTGTTTTCGGATCAATGAGAACCACACTGACAGACCCTTGTCGCTACGAACCATATCCAGAATGCTCGAGTCAACCTTCCGGAGGAAACCCGATCAGCGACTGTGGCATCAGGTACACGCTCAGTGCGTTCTCTCGAAGCGTAAGTCGATCTGCTGTGCCTCACGCGTGAATTGATCCCAACAGATGCTTCACGGATATGGTGCAAGCCTAGAATAGCCATTCTGCTTCCATGCCCTATCCACGCCTTCAAGCCGCTGGATCTCATTCGTTGAACCCAGGTCTGTCTGCGCGTGGCAGCATGAGATGCCTATATCCGGATTATGGTTTGACAGTAATCACAGGCATCTTCGCACGTCAAAGGCGCACCCAGGGAGAGCAGGCGGTGCGAATGTCGGGGTCGCTTAACTCTGGACCTTGCGCACCGCCGTCGGCTTCAAGCGCCACGAAGCCTTGCTCGCCATGTCGCCGCCTCAGGCAGCGTACTTCACGTATCGCCACCAGCCCCTCAAGGCCCTCTACATCGTCTACGCCGCCCTCGTCCTGTTCCTCGTCCGCACGCCGTACTGGGCCGTCACGAACCTCCTCCCAGCATGGCGCCCGAGGAGGTCCTGGCCCCTTTCCCGCGTCCTCAAGGTCAACACCATCCGTGAGGTCCTCCGAATCTCCTTCCAGACCTCCATCGGCATCTTCCTGGCCGACTCAAAGCAGCTCGCAAAGTCCGTCGGCTTCGTGTGGATCGAGCCCGACCCGACGCTCATTGGCGGCGAGATCAAGGCGGCGGCGAAGATCAACGACGTAGAGCCCGCCCGCATCGGCGGAGTGTGGTACGGCCAGAGGGGCCCTGACGGGCGGGTCGGCCAGCGGGCGGGGCCGGACGAAAGAGTCATTTTTGAACTGCATGGTCAGTCCGTCCGGTGCTGGTCAAGGACCCGCGCTGACGAACGTTTTGTTCACCGCAGGCGGTGGATGGGTGGTCAGTATCCGGTCGTGCGCCTTGCAGCATCCGCATTGCTGACCGCGTTCTTTCTGGCGTGTAGATCGGGAACGCGACGCGGAGCTGGGACAGCGCGTACATGTGCGACGAGATGCTCAAGTACGCGGACGGGTACGCGCGGGCGCTGCAGATCGAGTACAGGCTGGCGCAGACGGCGCCGTTCCCAGCGAAGAACGGGTTCCCCGCGGCGCTCATCGACGCGATCGCGGGCTACAACTACCTCGTGAACGTCGTCGGCTTCAAGCCCGCCAACATCCTCGTCTCGGGCGAGTCCGCGGGCGGCACCCTCGCGTTCGCCCTCACGCGGTACCTCGTCCAGAGCCGCTTGCCCATGCTCCCGCCGCCGGGAGCGCTGTTCCTGCTGTCGCCGTCGGGCGACTTCGGGCGGACGTACGTCGGCGCGGGGTCATCGGTGGAGAAGAACAACGACTCGGACTACGTGCAGTGGTTCTTCAAGGGCTACGGGGTGCGGGCGCTGCTGGGGAACATGTCGCTGGAGGAGGCCTTCACAAATTCGTGGATCTCGCCGGCCGGGGCCCGCGTGCCGCGTGTTGCAGGCGAGTTTGCGGGAATGCCGCCGACGCTGATCATGGCCGGGGGTGCGGAGTACACGCTGGACGAGCAGAAGGTGCTGCGGGACCGGCTGGTGGAGGACAACGGGAGGGACGCGGTGGCGTATGTCGAGCTGCCGGATACGACGCATATCGTGCTAACGGAGGCGTGGCACGAGCCCGAGCGCACCCAAGGCTACGAGGCGTTCGCGCGCTGGGTGGACGGGTTGGCGGCTCAGAAATGATGCTTGGTCTGAGTGGTCTTCGTCAATGGCACTGACTCGGAGTCGTCGCTTTCTTTTGGGCAAGATCTCTCTGTACGCGATACGTTGTGGTGTGTATGTTTTTCTGGACCGTTCGTGTTGAACTGGGTGTTCATGTGTCCCCTGGGTACCGTCGCTGGAAATGATGCTAAAAACCGGTTTGTCAGCATTCGGCCGCTGCCCTGTGGAGCAACGTTGTGCGTCGCGCAAGCCGTCAAATATACATCCGCTTTAATTGGCCCGCTTCACGCGCACGCCCGCCCTCGTCCACGCAGTCGTTCTAGCGCAGGTCCAATTTGAAGCGTAGACGAAATATTGTAGCGCGGTCAAGACTGGCACTGGTACTTACCCAGGGTGGATATGCTGACTAATGCTCGGTGACTCTCATGACATTCAACCAGATTAATACCGGCTCGGCTTGATGTCACTATGTACGGGAATTGAAATTTGTAGCAATCGCGGCGTTGGTTTCCCCCAATCTAACAACTGCGTAAATCATCTCTGACAGCGCTCTAGTCTACTACCATAATTGTCTGCGTGTGTGTCCCGTGATGAATCAGCTAACGACTTTCGATCCAGACGACGGTCCCGGCAAGCGAATCGTCACTTGCCAGGCATCGTGTTTGCCAGTGATACTAGTAACTGTGCGTTTCGCACCGCGACCAGACTCGGAGATGGCAATGCACGCCACATAGGTTGATGCATAGTATACTTAGACATGGACCACCCCGCTGAGAGGTCTACACACGGTCCTCGACTTCTCGGACGGACGCGACATCCATCAAAAAACAGGGGTATGATGAGGCACAGAAGGCACGCTCTCTTATCGTGTCAGACCCCCTTCTCTAGTCAAGGATTTCCCAGGTTCGCGGAACCTATGGATCGCTGTTCCGGGTCTTCAGAAATATACTGTCGTTCCGCCGCACACTTACAATTGATGTATCCGACCCAGGCATCGATCTGTCCGCGGACGTTTGCCGAACGGTCAGCTATGCTCCGTACTGTATTATGGGACCTCGGGGTCCGAGACACCGCATGTGGTCGCTAATACCCGACAAAGGACGCGGTATCTCAGCTTATGTGCCTCACACAGCTGTCTGATCAAGCTGGCAATCGATGTGTGTCTGCAGATCATGTTCTCAAGCATTTCGCCGGTGATGACAGGACATGGGTAGGGATCTGATGTTGCATGGCTTCTGGACTCGGATATCCAGGATCAGGTCCCAGGGCGCAGATGAGCGACGCATGCCAACGGTATAGACACCGCACAACAGCTGCGTTCGCCGACTCAGGGAGATGGTCCGATTGCTCACTGTGTACGTAGCTCCGCACTGTATCTGAGGACGTGATTCTGGGCATTGTCATGCCATGTCTGCCGATGGATGTCCCCAAAATGTTCTTCTTAGACACCGCCTCGACCCAAGTGTGCCCCAGCTCATCTGCCACTCAAGACGACACTAATGGTGTCCAACCCAACGAGACATGATCGTGCCGCCTCGTATGTCCAAGCTCTAAGATCTCGAGTAATATCACTGATGGTCGCACCTGAGCGGAAGTATCAAGATCAAGGGTCATCACTGTGCAGACAGGGAGAGGATCCGCCAGCCTCGTCTGTCGGAGGAGGATGCGTACTACGATGCCGGAGCGATCTTGATCTGCTGGCGCCTGTGCTCTGCAGCACCGTGCCACCGACGGATCTTGATGGCGGTATGGGCGCGTGGGCGTCTGATGACTTTGATCCACAACCACAATGGCTGTGTTTGCTTCCGCCGGCTCGTCGCATCAATCTTCGTTCGACGTGGGACCCGTGGCATGTTCAGACAGCGACCTTGACACGGCGTGGCGAACACGATAGGACACATGGCATGATTCTGAGGCTGTGGTCGTGTCGTCTCACCTACACGGCATTGCTCGAAAGTTGCAGTACTTGGGACCCGGGTACAAAGAGATGGATCGCCATGGATGACTAGCCTCAGGTATTCCCTGTCACCCTGCACCACCATACAAGCCTTCGAGAATGCCAGGGTCACCCGTAGCCACAATCCCATCTCCTCGCACAGTTCCAGATGTGTCCGGCATGCTCAAGGCTGCTCCAGAAAATGGAGGGTGGACGCCGCTGCAGCGGTCTTCTCGCGTACAGTACACGAGGTATGTCCGATACTACGACATTTAGAGATGGAGGTCTATACTAAGGCGACTCTCGCAGACCGATGGTTGGCTCCGAGTCTTGGATCTTTTCCTGGCGCGAGTTTGGCGACGGGTATAGTAGCTTTCCGAGACGAAGTACCTGGCATTGCTGACAGGAGGATGTTATAGTCTAGGCGACGTCTGTCACGGCTTCACGCTCAACACAAGCCTCAGCATCGGCACTGTTGAAGAGAGACTGAAGAATGGCCTATGTTATCTCAGGTAGGGAGCACGATACGACATCGCTATTGATTATGACACTTATTCTCCTATAGATTCGTCGCACCCCTCCTCGGAGGCACCATTGAGAAGGGTATCCACGACCCGGAGCTGGGATCATGGGTGTACACTCCTGCCTCCGGGATCGACGAGGTGCGCCGCTGGGCCGCGGACACGCTGTCCGTGGTCGAGACCACAACATCTCCCAACGACTTCGTCAACCACGCAGTCACAACACCCCTCCCCTACACCCTCTCCGACGGGAAGACCCAGTACTGGAAGCTCTTCCTCCTGCGGGACGCCGCCGGCCCGATCGGGCTGTTCGCCCACGGCACGCACGCGCTCTTCGACGCCCACCCGACGCTCAAGATGCTCCAGACTTTGCTGGACGAAATCGTCCAACCGCATGATGATGAATTCATCCGCAGCCTTGCCTGGGGAGAAGAGTGGCGCAACCTCTGTGCTGATCCTATCATCGCGACCGGGCCGCGGGAGGGCTGGGACGACGAGGGCATGAAGCTGGTCCAGTTCATGCAGAGCCAGATGACGAGTCCCGTGGTAAGTGTGAATGCAAATCTTTCATATCGCCCGGAGTAATCGATACCGCATATAGCCCATGCACGGCTTGAAGCCACGCCGGCCGGCCATCCAGGACGTCACCACAGTGCACCGCGTTGTGCAGACACTCGAGCCCGACGTGACCAGGTCGGTCCTCGCCGCCCTCAAGCGTACGGGCCACACGGTGACGCAGCTCGTCGAGGCCGCGACGATCCTCGCGCTCTTCGCGGAGAACCCCGACGTCGCGTCGCCAGAGGAGGCGCACGTCACCCTGGACCTCTGCTTGTGAGTGCACGCCGCGTCCGTGTTTGCCTGCTCACGCTGAGTTTCGCATACAGCATATCCTTGATGAAGCACCTCGTGCCCCCGTACGAGCCGGCCACGCACATCGTCTCGTGCTCTGGACTGGTCTGGATCAAGGTGCCCTACAGCGTGTTCCGCACAGAAGACGACGCGGCGAAGAGGCTCTGTCTGATCATGGGCCATCTGCGCGACCAATACGCCGTGTACCTGTCCAGCCCTCACCTCCCGCATCTCACCGCGCGCGTGGCGCAGATGGTGCCGCTGCGCGTCGCGCCGCCTACCCTGTGGCCGAACAAGTCCGCGAACATCCTGACGAACATCGGCGTGATCGACCGCATAGCCAAACTTGACTATTACGAGCACCCCGGCGACGCGCATCCGCTCGTCGCGGTGGACGATATGATATTCTGTCATAGTGTAGGGGAAACACACCGCCCGTGAGTCGCATTCCTCCCGCAGGAGGAGCAGTCGCTGACGGTGCAGCAGGATCGTGCATGCGTGGACGATCAAGGGACGCCTGCACATGCAGATACGGGTAAGGTTTCGCTCACGGGTCCTTCACCGCTGTCTGACGCTGAAGATTTGCATGCAGGGCGCTGACGTCTGGGACTCGAGCCAGCTTGAGCAGTTTGGGAGCAGGATTCTCGAGTTCGTGCGCTTGATCTCTACTGCCAGTGTCGCATAGATGCCGTCCAAGAGTTGCAAGCTGTGTCCCGGCCTTCATATTCTTATTTTGGGAAATGGTAATCGAATTGACCAATAGAATAGTCCGCGCAATCGACATGATGTGGTGCGGCTCGAACATGATGCGTGATGCATGATGCATGATGCGTGATTTCCGACATTTGCATACGATGTGCCGACTTTGGCAGTACTCGCGCAGATTGGGTTTCCATCTTGCCGGCGAGAATGTAGCATCGACTCCGATTCCAACTCATCCTGCAGAAAGCCTGCCAGTGGAATATGTCGAGCACTGGCAGAACACCCAAGGCAGACGACAACCAGTGTATAACGATCACGCAGTAAACGTTCTGACGTCAATCGGCTGGTGGACCGCCGATGCCGTTCCGCTGCAATCGTTGACAACCTCCTTTCAGTGTTCACGGGCCTGCTGTGCGGCAAAACTCCTTGAGTTGGACCGTAGATCCGCTGTACCTGAAGGGAATAGTGATGACCGTGAACAGAAATATCTGATCGAGAGTGTACACTGTATGTATGATGCTAATGAGCCGCTTGACAACCGCCGCTGTCTCGTGTTGTCACTACTACTATTTGACATCCGCCATTCTGACATCTGCACTGTGCCGGCTGCGCTCCCTCGACTCCGATCAACTGCCGACGTCAAGATCTGTGTCGCAATTCTCAACATAGTCGTTGGCCCGTCGATAACACCCTGAATGACACGCCAGCTCACAGCGTGACTTCTCCTTGGCAAGTCCACCACCGAACCACATGGTGATTCGATCTATCGCCGGCATGCATGCTCACGGACTCGCAGCGGCTCTGCAAGACGTCCGAGAATTCTTAGCGAATGAACGTACAAGTAGATATGGGCCGGTCCCTCGGGACTCGAGTGGCGGAGCTTTGTCAAGCGAACTTGACACAACCCTCGCCGAAGTGGTACAAATGCCTCCCATGAAGGCGATGATCTGACATTGATTCATTTTGTGGCCCACGCACGACGGACGATGTGTCGACGGCCACAAAGGCTGTATGTGCGTCACGGTCACAGCCTACAGGTTGATGAAAGCTTCGATGAGGAAGCCGGGCGATTATGCCACGGAGAGTAATCCGCTGATCTATACGTTCCTCGTTGACATGTATCTCCGTGAGCGTGCGCCCCACCATCGAGCCGCGAAACGAAGGCCCTATCAAGTACCAGTGGTGCCCTGACATAGCTTCGCCCGCAACATTTGTTCTCTTGCGCATCGGGATATCATCAAGCTTGGCTTCTGCGGGTTCTGAAGGGCGACGGGTATGAGACCTCTGTGAGGGATACAGACCTGCGTATACAGATCAAGTACATGATCTTTTATACCGCCTCGTTCGATACTAGCCCGCAGAGTCTCCGCCCCCCAATAACCTCGCCGCAGCTCCAGACATAGGTTTGCTGCACATGAAACTACTCTTCGGGCACTTGCTTTGTGTGTATCGTTCATGGGTCGACTGGACCGTCTCCATGCTGCTGTGGCGGTGGCCTGACGTCCCCTCGGCGTCTGCGGAGACAGACGTTCCACAGAGCGTGTTGGAGAAAGGTCTAGCTGACCTTCCTAGGGCTTCATCCGCCTCTTCGAGCATTGTCGTTGGGGAGGAACGTCCGGTACCCTATCGCTGCATCCACCACGCTATCCTAGCGCATGCCGCCCGTGATCCATCCGCCATAGCGGTCACCGCTCATACCGGTGAGACCATAACCTACGGAGAGCTCGCAGAGACGTCCCTGCGTGTGGCGCAGACTCTCCGTGCGCACGGCGTTGGAAAGGGATCAAGAGTCTGTCTAGTCATTCAGCGATCCATCCCCCCTATAGTCGCCATCCTCGCGGTCCTTCGCCTCGGTGCCGCATATATCCCGTTGGACGGTGACTCGATCACGGACCAGTCATTGCAAGCCGTGATTCACGACGCACAACCTACATGCACCCTCTTGTCGAGGGCTTGCGTTCATCGCGCAGCCCAAATCAACGGTGTCCACTGTTTTCTGGAGGACATTCTGGACGCGCACGAACAGCCCACATCCTCGCAGGGTATCACAGACATTGCAGACCCATCTGATTGCGCATACATAATATTCACGTCAGGTGAGCAAAGGAACACCCCTTAGACGTACGTGTACTCACCGCACCTCAGGGACAACTGGAGTGCCGAAGGGCGTCAAAGTGTCCCATCGTAACGTCACCAACTGTGAGCAGTAGAACGTTCCCTCCATCGCTGCATCGTACTCATCGGAGAGAAAGTGCTATGCCTCAGCCCCGGGAACCTCGGGATCGCCCCCGGGGTGCACGTCGCGCAGCTCCTGAACGTAGCGTTCGACATGTGCGTCTGGGAGACCCTTGGGTGCCTCATGAACGGCGGCACGCTCCACCTGCGCGGGCCGCGTCGCGCAGACTGGCTGCAGGTCCTCCGGACGGTGCACGTCGTCATCTCGACGCCCTCAATACTCGCGCAGCACGACCCCGCCGACTATCCCAACATCCGCGTCGTCGCCACCGCGGGGGAGCCCTGCCCCGTCGCCCTGGCGGACAGGTGGGCGAGACAGGCGACGTTCTACAATTCCTGCGGGCCGACAGAGGTGAGCTCTCGAGGCGCTCTCGACGGCCCGGACGAACGACTGACGGCCTACCGAGGTGACCATCGTGAACACCATGCACCGCCACTCTCCCGGAAGCCCTCTGACGGTCGGGGCGCCCACGCCGAACAATGCGGTGTACGTCCTCGACGACGACCTGCGGCCTGTGCCTCGCGGAGCCGTGGGCCTCATGTGGGCTGGTGGGCTCTGCGTCTCGCAGGGGTACCTGAACCGCGCAGACCTCACGGCGAGCAAGTTCAAACCCGATCCCTTCGGCACGCCCGGGTGAGTCTTGCGTCCCGCGAAAATGGTGGTACCGTCGGTGCTCAGGGCTACACACGTAGGTCGCTCATGTACAACACGGGGGACATCGGGCGGCTGAGAGACGACGGCGAGCTCGACCACCTCGGCCGCATTGATGACCAGGTCAAGATCCAGGTGGGTTAGCCTCACCAAGGACCGAGGGCAAAGCAAGCTGATTGTCGCGTCGCAGGGCTTCAGGCTAGAGCTAGACGGCGTGTCTGCGGCGATGCGGACCTGTCCTGGAGTCGATGCAGCGTGCGCGCTGCTCGTCGACGGCGAGCTGTGGGGGTTCTTCAGCCCAGGTGATGTCTCGCCAGGCGACGTGAGAGCAGCCACGGCCCGCATGCAACCGAAATATGCCGTACCGACAAAGCTCAAGGCCTTGGACACGATCCCGCTGACATGGTACGTTACTGAGGCTGTCGTAAACGATAGCCACGTACACTGACACTCTTCCAGCAACGGGAAGGTGAACAAGGTCGCGTTGCGTAGCATGGCAGTACTGTCACACCTAGCGGCAGAATAGATACCATGAGTCACTGGCAGGCAGTAGGGATGCGATGAATGTAGATTTAATATTGTGTACTTTGCCACTTATCGTTATTGTGTGTCGAGTCGCGATTGTTCCCGTTCTCGAGTTCTTGTATCCCGGATGCTGCACTCAAGCGACTTGGGCATACGGCGAGGAAACTTCGTGAAGTCCACAGAAGGAGCTCGAGGAGGTCGGGATCCGGAAGGGAGGCCGTCTCCGAAGCGTGGTGTTCGGCTCGGCAACGGCAAGAGCGTGAGAAAAAGAGCGTGTTGGGTTCCTTAGCAGCTACTTAATAGCATTACTACTTAATAGCTACTCAGTCAGTTTGGCCTGCACGAAGTCATCACTACTAGGTAGTAAACATATTACCCTTGGTTCAGAAACTGATGCACATCGCAGTGATTGCCTTCAATGTCCCAATATGAGAGGGGCACTGTCAGATGGTCCCTTGGCTCGGACAAGTGCCACGCCGCTATACGTGTGTCTGGGGGCCACCATTTCCTCTAAGGTGTGCACATCTACCCTATGATCCGTCCGACGCCACGAAGATGCTCAATTGAACATTGATGCGGCAAACTGACCTCTCCGACTAAATTAACCCGAGGTGTGTGAAAGCGCCGACTCAGGCATGAATATTGCTCTCTTCTACCAACTGCCTGCGTCTTCGAGGTTCATCAACACTGACCTTGATGGTGATGTATGTGTTCGCCGTATCTCAGACTTGGGTTGGAAGAATGGAGATCGCGAGCGCCAGGCGGCCGGCATGAATGTCCGCTCTTCAGGCACATCCCTCAGGTGGACTCCGAGCCCAATGGTTTAACTCCGAACACGAACACTTCTTCATCGGTTTCAGTAGTAGAAATGCGACTGAAATAGCTGTGCATCAAGTTCGTACTTCAAGTTGCTGATGTCAACTACACGGCGCTCGTTGTGCAAGCTCAGGATGGTGCGTGTTCAACGTTGGGATAGCACAATGTTCATAAAGCTCATCCATCATCTAAGTAGCTGTCGGCGCACATCTGATCGAATGCGCAACAGCGTGACGATACTCTGTCGATCTCATCCACCGCCACGGTGTAGATCATCCTGCTAAGACCTGTCAAGTGTCATTGCATATCCGCGCCGCGTGTACAGTTTTCTCTGATGATCACAGAGCGTGCTACTACTGACTACATAGTTGTAATAGGTGACCTCCGCATCTTCCTGCATCCCTATCAAGTTATTCGTGTATAGTATGGCCTCAGCCAATCTCCGCACGACATATCTTCCCTGGAACACACTCGTCCGTTCCATCTGCCAGTCGTGCGACGAACCACCAGTGGCGCTTCTCGACTGCTGGTGACTATTCATAGAGGCGAGGCATCGAATCGTACGTCTGCGCCGTACATTCATCAACTACACCGGCCTGGATACTGACACGGCATATCCGTTCTATTGACGACTGTACCGTGACGGCCATAATTGCCACTTGTCACTGAGGAAGGGATGTGCCTTGATGCCTCTGCATCCCAGTAGACGGCCTGCGCAAGCTCTGATACCACCCAGGAAGCCGGAGACTCACATCATGCTCGGCGGCTACTTGAATCTAGATTTTACACACAGCTAGGCGGCGTTACAGGTGGTATCCCCAAGAAATCCGAGAAATCCGTCGTTCGTAGGTACGCGGCCCAAAAGCGACGATGCTGTCCTATCCTTTCTAATGGGACACGATGCCAGCCATATATGTGGACCGTTCTCCGGGACATGTCAGGTACGAACAATTTCCGGGATCTATTAGACTATTCATGACACTGATTTCCACGTCCGACAGCGCCGTCCTCACGCTCGATGGATCCACTGACAGTCAAAAATACATTCGAGTGCTCGTTCTATGATATGATCACCGGTCCTCAATGATGCTTGTATGGCAACATCCGAGTCCTCCTGATCGAGTTTACGCCGGGTGCGGTTGCATCGCTATTGGCTTTGCGTTAAGTTGCTGATCGACGGGTTTACGACAGAAGGGGCCTATGAACTGGAGGCTATCCGTGTTGCAGTCAAACTGTCCATATGTATCAGAGTCTACCGCCTAGTACGCCAACCTGTCTGCGAATTTGTATCCACCTGGAATACAGGTGTTGTCCAGTGAGGTCCAGTGGCGACCGGTACTTCCACCTCAGGTTTAACGCCTGACGCCTGGGCCTGATCTGTCAACGATCAATCTATGCAGGAGTCTGAGCTCTTATCTGCATGACAGGTGCATCGGGCGCCGCACTGGCACTAGGCGTAGTATTCCGTATATGCCAGTGTGAATCCGGTCCAAGTCACAGGAAGGGAGGATATCGCATTGCTTCTGACGGGTGAGTGAGTAACATGGATCAGCGCCGAACTCTGAACAATCATTCGTCGTTCAAGTAACCCACTCGAATCGTCTCCAAGATACAGAATCGCCCTCGCCCCCACCCCATTGGACTCACTGTTTCAGAAACTGCGCGTACCACCATGTCGACCGCGGCCCTCGTCCTGCCCCCGATCACTAAAATGACCATGGTCAGCGTGTGGATCGAGACCTTGGTATACGGTAAGTATACGATCTGACGAGCGACGCAAACGCTGACGGCTCACTGCCGCTCCCGCAGGCGCAAAGTGAGCAGACCGCCCGCGACTCGGGTAGCGTTCTTCGTGTGTACTCACAGAGACCCGCCTCCCGCAGTATCATCGTCTTCGTCGGTGCGGTTTGGGTGCTTATATTTCGCCGCAAGCAATCCGCCGCTTCTCAACTGTGAGTGCAAGGTATTTTGGTCGGCGGGAGTACACTCAACCGACCTATCCCGACCGACGTGCCCCCCCCCCGCCGCATCGCTCGACACAGGTACCTGTTGGCGACGTCAATGCTGCTGTTCGGGCTTGCCACCGCTCACGTCGCGATATCGCTCGCGCAGCAATTGCAGGCCTTTGTCTACAACAACCCCGCTGATGCCCCCCTCTACTTGCTCAACCAGCAAAGTTCGCTGTTGTTCGCCAAGCTGGTGCTGTACGTTGTCACTGTACGTCTGCTGTGCCGGCCCCGTGCCACGCTCGCTCTTGTCTGACGCGAACGTTCGCAGGTGTTCGTGCAGGACCTTGTGCTCGTGAGCGCCGGTTGCCCATCTTCACCCGCGACGCTGCCTGACGTGGCTGTGATAGATCTGGCGCATGTACGCCGTGTACGGCAGCAACTGGCAAATCATCGTCGTTCCGGTGCGTGTGTCGTATTCATAATCCGCGTACAACGCGTCCCGCGGCGCTGATTGACTTGCGTTACCACAGCTCATCTTCGAATGCGTGCATATAGGCAGGTCATCGAGTGATCAGGATTTAATTCGCCACTGACGTGCGCACATCTTGTCTCTCACAGGTGTCGCAATGGCATCCTCGGTCGAGACGTACATCGGCGCCGGCTACAGCGGCGAGAGGGTGCGGGCGACGTCCGTGACGGGGTGGGTTATGGACCTCATCGTCAACATCGGCGTGACGTGCGCGATCGCGTACAAGCTCTGGCGCGCCGGGCGAGATGTCGCGAGCATCAGCTCGCGCACGGGCCACGGCGCCCGGTCGGCGTACATGGGCATCCTGTTCATCGTCGTCGAGTCCGGGGCGATGTTCGCCGCGGCGACGTTCACGATCGTCGTGCTCTACCTGAACACGCCCACGGAGCTGCCCGCGATCATGGGCATCAGCGTCGTAGTGCAGTTCGCGGTGAGTCCGGCTCGGAGGCGACTGCGAGGGGGGTGAGCTGATGTGTCTGTGGCAGACGATGACCCCGCTGCTCATCGTGGTGAGGGTCGGGATGCGGATCACCCATGGCGGGATCAAGACGACGACGTACGCGAACGGCACGTCGCAATCGCTCAGCGCGCCCCAGTTCGCCGCGAACCCTCGCGGGCACGCCGGGATCCTGCAGACGCACGAGACGACGACGGATCTGAGCACGGATGCGTACGTGCTCGACGACATGAAGGCAAAGTACTCGCCCTGAGGCCGCGCTGGCGTGACATGCGGATAGATGGTAGGTTGGGGGTTGGGAGGCTGCGAGGATCTGCGGGACAGTATCTGGAAATCTCGTTTCTGTACGATGTGAATGTATGTACGGTGTACCAGTTTTTGTCGCACTGCGGGGAGCGCTGCTATTCACTTGCGCGACCCGAATATCCGACAGATGCACGTACTCAGCTCGACGGCGCCCGCCTTCAAGTTCGCCCTACAGTCGGCCTCTGCCTTCCGGTTCACCTCGAACGCGCCGGTAAAATCCAGCATACAGTACATTGACGATTTATTGTTGTGTAGGAGACTCTGTTCAATAGACAGGATCATTCAGCGGGAGCAGAGAACGGGAGACACCGAGCAGAGAAAGAAAATGGCATAATCGTGATGAGCCAGGCGTAGGACAGCTGTCCCTTTGAATCCACAAAGATGGATATTGAAACTCGAAGGGAGATTTCTCGTCTGCTCTACATTATGCGCTGTTACTGTCTGTAAGTAGCGTCGTTCTGACTTCGTTCGAGGGATGCGCATAGCGCCTGACATTAGAGAACCTGATCATGTGAGCACCTGGCGATGCCGCGGCAGCGCCGTCGGGTCCCGGTATTTCGAGCTCCGATGATGCACTCAAACATCCTCTGCTCCGTCTGAGATTTGAGATCTGACTCCTTACAGACGACAGGACAATCGTGCAGCCTGCTCAAGCTAGCCTTCCCTGGGTGCGACGGACACTGGTGGACCATGATGCACGGCGACCTCAACTTGTCGACACTCTACCGGCGGTACCTAGTAGCACCTGGTCGCCCATCGCGCCCATGGCCGTATGGTGGGAGGCGGAAGCGAACTAGTAGTACTACCCCTTGATGAGTCTACCCTGAGTCTACCCACGAGGCTGTGGTCTCGACGGCCCGTGTGCATGCTCGAAGCTCGAGATGCTCAATTACAGTAAGAGAAGAAGTCACTCTCGGGGGGCGGAGGCGGTGTTCCTACTTGTTCCATTCTTGCGCAACGGAACCACATATCCCGCTCGTTCTGCCTGACAGAAGCTTGTCTGCCAATCCTGACAGCGAAGTCCCCTGCGTGTTCTGGACTGCCTCGGTGGGATGTCTGGACACTGCGCGTCTGTTGTCGGTGCTTGTGACCGACTGCGTGCGTAAGTGCCAAACGTCGTGGCAGGGACTTCTCCATTCATACAGCGCGGAAAGTGCGACTGTTGATGCAGATGGGAAATCGTGCGACGATGGTCGTGAAAGAGTGACTCACAGCTGTTCGGAAAGGTGCGTGGCTTATCACGGACGTCGATGATCAACGGACGCTGTCCTTGTGCGGCGTGTTGTGATCCATGTCGAACAACTCTACGAGCTTCGCGCCATCCTGGGAGAAGCAGGCTGAAGCAGGTCAGTGATTCCCATCTTCCTGCGCAGCCTTGACAGGCACAGTCATCGCGGACGAAGAGAAGAACTTCCCTCGAAGGTCTTAAGCGTCGCCGCCTATTCGGATCCTCAAACCATGGCGGAACCTCAAGTCGCCTACTTCACGTACCGGCACCAGCCCCTCAAGGCCCTCTACATCGTCTACGCCGCCCTCGTCCTATTCGTCGTCCGCACGCCGTACTGGGTCATCACGAACCTCCTCCCAGCATGGCGCCCGAGGAGGTCCTGGCCCCTTTCTCGCGTCCTCAAGGTCAACACCATCCGTGAGGTCCTCCGAATCGCCTTCCAGACCTCCATCGGGATCTTCCTCGCCGACTCAGAGCAACTCGCAAAGTCCGCAGCCGAGGTCGGCTTCGTGTGGATCGAGCCCGACCCAACGCTCATCGGCGGCGAGATCAAGGCGGCGGCGAAGATCAACGACGTAGAGCCCGCCCGCATCGGCGGAGTGTGGTACGGCCAGAGGGGCCCTGACGGGCGGGTAGGCCAGCAAGCGGGGCCGGACGAGAAGGTCATCTATGAACTTCATGGTCAGTCCTTCCCGTGCTTGCCAAGGACCCACTCTGACTAACGTCTTGTTCACCGCAGGCGGTGGATGGGTGGTCAGTGTCCCGCCGTGTGCCTTGCAGCATCCGCATTGCTGACCGTTGGCGTGTAGATCGGGAACGCGACGCGGAGCTGGGACAGCGCGTACATGTGCGACGAGATGATCAAGTACGCGGACGGGTACGCGCGGGCGCTGCAGATCGAGTACAGGCTGGCGCAGGCGGCCCCGTTCCCGGCGAAGAACGGGTTCCCCGCGGCGCTCATCGACGCGATCACGGGCTACAACTACCTCGTAAACGTCGTCGGCTTCAAGCCCGCCAACATTCTCGTCTCGGGCGAGTCCGCGGGCGGGGCCCTCGCGTTCGCCCTCACGCGGTACCTCGTGCAGAGCCGCTTGCCCACGCTGTCGCCGCCGGGAGCGCTGTTCCTACTGTCGCCAACGAGCGACTTGGGGCGGACGTACTTCGGCGCGGGGTCGTCGGTGGAGAAGAACGACGACTCGGACTACGTGCAGTGGTTCCTCAAAGGCTACGGGGTGCGGGCGCTGCTGGGGAACATGCCTTTGGAGGAGGCCTTCACGAATTCGTGGATCTCGCCGGCCGGGGCGCGCGTGCCGCGTGTGGAGGGGCAGTTCGCGGGGATGCCGCCGACGCTGATCATGGCCGGGGGTGCGGAGTACACGCTGGACGAGCAGAAGGTGCTGCGGGACCGGCTGGTGGAGGACAACGGGAGGGACGCGGTGGCGTATGTCGAGCTGCCGGACACGACGCATATCGTGCTGACGGAGGCGTGGCACGAGCCCGAACGCACCCAGGGGTATGAGGCGTTCGCGCAGTGGGTCAGTAAGGTGAATAGTGATGTGAAGAGCGCAGAGTATCTAGCATAGCCACCCTCGGTCTTCGGTATGTGTAATTTATTCGTGGTACGCTCGCATAGGAAGTTGCCGACAGCACGACTACATGTTGACTGGAATTCGGAAAGTGTGAAGATGTTGCCCAGCCGGGTCCCGGACAGCAAGAGCAACACTCGGCGATGAACGAGTTAGATTGGCGGCAGAGGACTAGCAAGAACGTGGCCATTAGCAGACCGTTGCACCTGTCTCAGACTCCGGCTATTGATCGCGAGTCGTCACGTTCACGTGAGTGGTTGTCACACGGGCGTCATGCCAGATCACGGAACCGCAGAGCACAGAAGGACAATAAAGAGCGATGACAACAGTGACCAAGAACAAGGTTAGGAAATGCGACATAAACGCAACTCGTTCACTCAGTCGTTCGTATGACGGAAAACGCGCTCTCGCAACAAGGGCATCCACCGTCATCTGCACGCCTCCCGCTCACAGCCCCGCCAACCACTTCGCAACCTCCTTGAGCGTGTCCGTCCGCTCCGGCTCATGCCACGCCGCAGTAAAGAAGTCATGAGTCGCGTCTTCGGGCTCGATCCACCGCACGCGGTCCCCCAGGTCCTCCGCCACCACCTCTCACTGGCAGACCCATACATAGACCCTTGAGACTGTAGTCCAGATCCCATACATGAATGTTGTAGTTCACAGACTGCCCTGGCCTACAGCCTCATATATAAATGTTCTGTGCCCCATATACATTGTCCGTGGCTCTCATACATACTCATACATCCAGCATAGCCCTCATACATACTCTCATACATGCTCCCATACATCGCCCTAACATCGCCCGGGGCGAACCCTCCCGTGGCTCATACATCGCGTATCGGTGTCCGATATATCAGCCGTCCCGCGACTCATACATCACTCAATGTATCAAACGTTCCACGACTCATACATCGCGCGTCGACACCGGATGTATGAACCATCCCCGCGGCGATGTATGACTCAATGGCTCATACATCGCGCGACTGCGACTCATACACGTGCACCGTCGGCGACCCGCAATTCATACATCACACAATGTATAAACAGTTCCGCGACTCATACATCGCGCGTCGGCTTGGCGTCGATACCGGATGTGTGAACAGTCCCGCGATGTATGGCTCATACATCGCGCGGCCACGACTCATCCACGTGCACCGTGCGCCGGCGTCCCGTGATGTACAGTGGCGGACGGTGGTCGTTGTCTCTGCCATGCTCAGTCGCCAGGCTCCCGCCCTGCAGAGGGCGCGACGCTCTTCAGAGGTACTTGCATACAAAACCTTTACCGAAAAGTGACTCTGCGCGGTGCAGGAGCTAGGCAACGGGCCAGGTCTTGCGCTGGGCGCGCTGGCGGCGAGCGCCCGAACCGTGGGAACCGGCTGGGCGGTCGCGCCCTCAGCGCCGATGCGCAGCGAGCCTCTCTCGTCACCGCCACTGCGCCTCCCACCTCTGGGCCACTCCTCCTCCTTCCCCTCCTCGTCGCCGTCGCTGCGCCTCCCAGCTCTGGGTCAACGCCCACCGGTGCGTTGGTATGGAGATTGGGCTTCACTCTGGCCCTGCCGGGACGAGTGCTGACCCCCCATACCCCTCTGGCTCGTTGTTCCCAACCGGCTTGGGTCTTCAGCGCCGCGGCGCCACCTGCTAGTCGCCCTCGCTCCCACCCATCACCGCCGGCAAGCCTTGCGCGGTGCCCCAAGAAGCCGTGGCCGACATACTCACATGACTCCGACGTACGCTTGCCCTGCGCCTCGTCAGGCTTCTACTGAACCACGCGCGACATGAACGCCATGTCGCGCTCTACGATCATTCGCAGATAGGTAGACTCGGAAGTCTGATGGGCCACTAAGGCCGGCGATTTGGATTTGGGTTGCGACACATAGGAGGTGGAGGACACGGGCTTGGGTGTAGAGCTGACCGGTAAGCATCTGCCACACGTTTGATTGTGCGTCTTGACAGACAGTTCTTTCGCAGCTGCGGGCACCTATGCTACTTGGCGGTGACACTGTAGCTATACCATTAATACATTATGGCTTTGTTTCGTAGAACCCGATCCCCCGAGCGACCACCCGCAAATTCGTGCATTAAGAAGAAGGTACGCTACGTAGTAACCCAGAGTTTATGTACATGATATTATGAAATGTGACGAGCTTCAGTATTCGCCTACTCACTTCTTTGCAGCCTTTTGTTTGCCCGGCGCAGGTCGCCTTTTCTTTGCTGCAGCATCCGACTCCGCGCTCGCTGGCGAAGCCTTTCTCTTAACTGGTGTAACAGGGGACTTGTCGGGACGTGCTGGTGCGCGCCGTCGGCGCTTGGGCCGACCTCGACCATCACCATCACCATCGGCAAGAGTGTCGGGCTGCCCTGCCGTCGCAGACGCTGCCTCCTCGGCTCCTGTCGTCGCAGACGCTGCCTCCACGGCTCCTGTCGTCGCTGCCTCCGCGGCTCCTGCTGTAGAAGCATTGTTCGTGACTGACGGATCGCGGCGTCCACCAGGCGGACTTGGTGCATGCGAGCTGGGTGGGATGTGGTGAGGGGGAAGCACGGAGGGCGGGGATGGTACAGACACAGACTGCGGCAGTGGAGAGGTTGAATGTACAGAGGGTGCGTTCGATGCTCCAATAGGAGGTCCCAGCTCATCCGAAGACTTGTCGGCGGCGCGCTGCGCATTTGGAGCGAGCGAGGACTGACGGTCGGCTCGCTGTACGGCCTCCGGTGCCGAGCTTGAACCCTGCGGTGGTGCGCCCACTGCCCCTCCAGGTGTAGTCCCGCCTGCCGTGGTGGAATGCTGAAGAAATGGCTGCGACGGCCGAGAGACTGATGCGGACGAGGGCTGAGCGCTGGTACCTAAAGGCGTGCCGGGTAACGGTACACCTATGGGCATCACACCTGCCGACGTGCTTGGCTCAGGCATGTGTGGCCCGGATGTCATCGGCTGAAGGTGTGGCGGGATGGGGTCCCAAGTGGAAAACGTCGGTGGGAAGTTGTATGTCGGATTAGTGAAGGTCGTAGAGGACGATGGTAGATTTGCTGAAGAAGCTGGGAAGTTGGATGAAAAGGTGCTGTTTGCGAACGAGGGAGGGGTATTCGTCGAGAATGGCATCGCCATCGGCAACAGATCGGGCTGGTACATCGAAAACGATGGCGGCGCTGGCATGGGGTTCAAGCCGGTCCAGGACTGTTCGCTGCCGCTCGCTGGCCACTGAGAACTCATTGGCAGCAAGCGGTGGGCATTGAGGAGGTCGACGGGACCTGGGTTTGTTGCAGCGTATTCGGAGGCGAGAAGGGAGTAGTCGATGTCATCCACGAACTCGGGGAGAGACGGGCTAGGTGCAGACAGCATACCAGGCGCAGATGACATCGCACCAGACACGCGGGACGTTGGTACAGGTGCGTTCATTGGGCCGCTCGCGCCATCCGTTTGAGGCTGATGCACACCTGTGCTCGATGTTACGGTGTTTAAACGTACAGGGTCTTGAACGGGGCGCAGAGGTGCGTCGGCAGCAAAGCGGGGAGATGGGATGGAGTCCAGCAACGAGGAGGCTGTATTGTCCGAGTCAGGAGCAACCACAGCAGTCGAGGACAACTCGGACGCCGGAGCAGACTGCTCCTCTCGGCTTGGCTCACGAACAGACGCGGGCGATGTCGATGCAGGTTCGATCTGTTGCTCCCGACTCGACGCGCCAACAGCCGCGAGCGACGTCACGGTAGGAGCCGCCTGCTCCTTTTGGCTGGATGCACCACTGGCCGCGGGCGTCGTAGGCGCGGTGCTGGTGGATGGCGACTGCTCCAAGCCGACCTGCTCCGACGACTCTACACTGGACGTTGCCTGCGGCGCTCCACTCGCCTCCTGGGTAGATGTTGCTGGTGTTGCAGGCGCGGCAGGACCTTGAGGAGCAGCCGCCGGGGCAGGCGAGCTCGTACTCGGCTGCGATAGCTTTTCGGAGCGAGCAATTGCTGCACTGTAAGTGAGAAAACAATGTACATATTATCCTGCTCAGACGACTCACCTATCTCTTCTTTGACATACTCGACGAATGGCCGGACGAATTGCGACACAAAGTTGCTCAACCTCCCGATGTTGTGCTCGGGGTCGTCCCCTTCTTGGTGAAAGCTACAGTGGTATTGTAAGTTCGACCACGATACCGACGGGGAAGAGTGTGACTCACACCATACTCCCAATTCCGCCATCAGAACCGGGTGCTACACCAGCTGCCATGACCATGAAGTACCAGCCAGTCTGACGGTGCAGCTCGAGGAACAGCTGCCGAAAAATGGCAGGCATGTCGTCGAGCACGCTATGGTTGGACAGCTCAGTCTCACACGTGTAACTCAGGATCGATGTACGTACGATTGACAAACCACAGCCAGAATGGCATGCTCATCGGTAGCCTCCGCTGGTGCGTCGGAACCGTCCGTGCCTTCGGACGCGCCTCGCTTCCCTGGAGTCCCTCTTGCCGCCCGAAGGACGTCGACTTCATCGCGAATCTCTTTCTTGATCTCCTCGTCCTCTCTGTCGTAAAGCTCCTTCGTGACCCTCTTGATGATCCCAAGCCTCTCTTCCTTCGTTACGACGCGCCCGGACAACTCCTCCTGCACCTGAGGCTTGATCCGCTCGTCGTAGTACTTGCGTGAGTAGACCTCGGTTTCCTTCAAGTTCCGTCGGTTCTTCGGCTTGAGAAGGCTCAAGTTCACGTGCGTTGCCTTCGCCTTGCGAGTCTGCTGACAGTTCTGATTGTTGAACCAGTTGTAGACTTTCTGCTGCAAAATCAGGAGATGGTCTGCTGCTCTGAGAGCTGTGTACGTACCCGTTTACGATTTATGATGGCTTCCTGCAGCTGCTTATCCTCTGCTTCTGATAAATCCCCGTCGACGTTTGGAAGGACCCTCGGTCTCTCCGGGAATTTCAAGAACCATTCGCGGTAGATATCTGGCCAAAATCGATGGAGCGTGTGCGCGAGCTGATGCGATCGGAAGGAGTCCAGCTTTGTCTGCAAGTACTCAAGTTCCGCATCGGTCGTCCAGCGGCGTGCGGGCATGAAGGTAAGCCTGTATGTCGGAGAGGAGGGACTCAATCTGCTGCCACATATCCTCATATTAATCCTAGAATTGCGGCCGTTCAACCTGACGATTTGCCGAGCGCAACAAGTGCAAATCCGGTATGGTCGCGCTAGTCGTCGGTCGCAAGCCAAAATGGGTGTGCGCCGCGCGCGCCTGGTTGCTTCCTGCGCTGCTCGTCATCTGCCGGCTGTTTGAAACACAGCGACTCGCATGGTGGCTCCACGGGCCGTCCATCAGAAGCATACACAAACCCTCAAATTCATGGGGCGTTCCGCATGGAATTCCCTCTAGCCAAGAACAAGACCTGTGCAGCCTGTGCCACCAGGTAAGTGGTGTCATATTCAGATTGCGAATCTGATGGTTTTTGGGGTGTTGCCCGCCACGCGATACGCCTCTCGTTCGACGACGAATAAGAGAGCAAGCTCCGAGTCCTAGGCCCCATCCAGCGGGATCATCTCCCCTCGCTCCCCACCCGCTACCGCTATTCCCCCGCGCCAACGTCGTCACCATGGCGAGAGAGGGCAAGAACGTTGACCGTTCTGCTCCCGACAGCGAGCAGCGGTTCAGTCTGGACCAATTGCAGCAGTTATTGGAGGCACTTCGCCTCGTGTCCGAGCAAGAAGGTACGTTCTGCTAGGCTGTTGCTTCGTTCAGCTAACTCACGATGTCTGTAGCGGAACGCCAGATGTGGCGAGATGTGGACGATCCCAGCCACCCGAGTAAGTATTCCCCGTTGCCCTTTACCTGTCTAGCTCATTGTCCACAGTGACATCAGACCTCCCGGCATCAGGAAGTGGAGGTAATCCTCCGGGAGCGGGCACCGTCACGCAAGGCGGGCCCAGCAGCCATGCGCCGGGAGCGGGCGCTCTTGCACCAGGCGGGCCCAGCGGCCACACGCCGGGAGCGGGAACGGTTGCGCAAGGCGGGCACAGCGGCCGCGCGCCAGGAACTGTCGCGCAAGGTGGGCACAGTGGCTGCGCAGGCCCGGCCGACTTCGCACCTCCTGTACGTCCCCCTTCGCCTGCCCCGCGGGTGCCTAGTGGTCCTCAAGGCACGTCTCGTGTACCGGCGGCCCCCGTTATCGGCAACGGCAGCGGCAACACCGGCGTTGGACTCTGCGGCGGTTGCTGTGGCAACTGCGGCGGTTATGATCGCTATGCCGAGGACGTGGGTCCTGGGAGCAGTACTGGTAAATTAAGGTGGTACTCCATCACGAAAGGGAAAGCAATCGGCGTCTTTTGTGACTGGTAAGGAACATTTGCGTTTACGTAGCAGCACACTGACAACATCTCTGCCTAGGGCGATCGTCGGACCTTTGGTGCTCAACGTGCCGGGTGCGATGTATTCACGATACCCCACGTTCAGCGCTGCGCTCGCGTCGTTTATGGGCGCAGTGGACAGAGGCCACGTTGGCATCATAGCGTAGTAGCGTAGTCTGGACTGGAGGTCGGATCAGTGGCATCTTGATTTACCCCACTGCTGTCATGTGTCCCTCGTACCTCGTGTCGTGATACCCCTTTTCATATTACCTTGTACCGCTTTGTATGTACTTCGTGGTCGACGCAGTAAACCCCCACTCCGAATCTCACTTGCACGCCCTCGAAATCGCCCGTTCTTGTGATACCCAGTGCACGTCGTCCCTCGGATATGGGTCGACGGGCAAAGTATCTCACTCTCGCTGAGAAACGCGAAGCCAAGCGATCTCAGCAGGCGAAGTACAGAGCTACAGATCGGTACCGTACCATCTTCGGCATTCTGACGTATTTACATCGCTAAGCCGCCGCCTTACAGTGGGAAGGCAACGCGGCGCCCGCAGATTCATGGGGAGCACCTGTCCCATCGTGGAGATATTCCTCCTTTCCCGGAGCAGATCGAAGGCATACACGCGGGTATCGTTGCGCATGCCCGCAGTTCATTTCAAATCCTGCCAGATTCATCGCTGGACCTTCCAGATCCGAGTCTAGGCCTCTATACATGGCCATACAAGCTCGTCGTTCCTGCGTGTTACTCCACGCCCTTCTCGGAGTACGATGAGCTATTTTCAGACACAGACTACGTGCTGGACGAGCTCAAGCAGGCGTTGAACATGCAACAGTTCTTGTTGCTGGAAGACAAAGGGCGTGAACACTATGCGTTGTTCAACTCTAGTACCAAGTCAGAAGGCGAGGCACTGTTGCGAAGGTTGGACGAAGAGCTCGTGCAACGCTTGCAGAGCTGGGAGGACACAGAGTCGAGTGATATGTCAACACAGGCTGGTGTTGTACAAGACGTTGGTACTAAATGGGCCGCGAGGATCATCTGTTGTCTAGCCTTAGAGTTACAGCTCGCGAAGTCGGGGCGAAGTATGTACGAACGGGCTTCACTGGCCAAGTCCTTGCCATGGCAGTGTTTGTACCCTAGCTTCAACTAGGACAATCAGTTCAGTGAGCGATTGCATCGACAGATTGGGGACAATGGGATTACTGCTTCAAATCGGACGCCAGGGAATAGTGCGCACTTGACCGCTGTGCCACACGAATCACAACCTGAATTATCTCCGAGTCGCTGTGAGGTCCGACGTGGCTAATAAGGAGCCTAAGTCCGGGAGCTGTTCACGAAGTCAGCTAAAAGATTGTTGTGGTACTTGTGCATTCACCGAGTCTGAGTACATTGTGTAGCACGACTTGGAGTAACGATCGATGGCTGCTAGCAGTACGGTGGTCCCTCGACAACTACTGACACCCATGTGTTTGTCATGGTCCCTCTGAATATTATGTATGAATAGGACGTAGCTAGCACTTTTGTTGACCCTCTTACACTTTTGCGCCGTAGAAACCCTACACAACCTGCTCTAAGACGAGGATAAGCTGGCATTAGGCACCAGGCTGACCGTTATCTGTGCCCTGATTGGTTGGAGAGATGGTTGAACTTTGAGCGCCCAACACCTAATTTGGAAGGTACGCCTCGCTGCTCTGCGCTATCGTCCCAGCCCTTCTCCTCCTCATCTGCTCATCATCGATGCCCATCCGATGATGCAACTGTCGTGCCTAGCACGCCTAGGTAAGAACCACTAAACACTACCTTGTCTCACTGCTGAGTCCTGCCTAGGTCCTTAACCGTCCACCAGTGCCATGACTCGCCTTGGCAGCCGGGCCACATCTTGTACGCATGTGGTACTCAACGACCATCGCAGCTGCTAATAGGATGAGCCAGGCATGACAATATTGCACGCGCCGAGTCAAGTACTACTTTCGTCCGCCGCCCTCATTGGGTCGGGACTCGGTTCGCGTGTCGCGCGCAAAAACTTCCGAACAGCTCCAAAACGTGATAGGCACACGCAAGGGACACGATGGGCCGTATCTTGGTGCGTCAATGCAGTGCGTTGCCTGCACACTCATCAAACTGATCCCTATTAACTTGCCAGCATGCTTAGGATCTCTCGTCCGATGCGCCTGCCGAGGCCAGATTCAACGTTCAGGTATGTTCACAGCCCTCGTTCAGATTGATACGCGCATATAGGTCCACCATAATCAGCGAAGAAACTGATGGAATGCTGTTGTCAGGTCCCTGTGCAACCGGCAGCTTTACATGTGTGAGCCTTGGCGGGAGGCCGATGTATCGGTCTAGCGGTTCCTCTGTAAGTTCGAAAGATTCCTAGCCATTCGGACTTCGGCTGACAAATGTCAACGCATCGTACCAGCGCGCCACGTCGGCCGACAACGGGATGTGTTCTTCCGACTATGCCGCCTTTCCCTCCAGCAACAACACCTGGTCCCTCGTCCTCAGATGGCACCACCCGCACAGAAACGCCGCCGCCGTGGCGCAGATGTCACATACCACACCATAGGCAATAACACCTACATCCTGCCGGCCCACCGACATGTATCTGTCGCCTCAACGCAGCAGTCTGTCGTGATGAGGGCCTCTGCGGTTGCAGCCGCTAACCCAGTGCCTCCGAGCATCCCTGTGGACGACAATGGTCTTCCCAATCGAAGGGATGCGGCTGATGGTCCCCCCGACGAGTCACTCGAAGCATTCGAGACGCTTCCGCACGACTTCTTCGACAACATCAACGACATGCTCGAGTTTGTAGACAGACCACGGAATCGCACGGCCAGTGTAAGTACGACATGTAGCCATTACTGAAGGAAAACTGACCCAAGTACAGGATAATCCCCTCGAAGATTGGCGACAGCACCACATCGACGAGTGGCTCGCGGAGGTGTTGCGTTTGGAGGGGCGATGTGGGTTTCTTGACGAGGCGTGTGCAAGCTGCAGCGAAGGTCGTGCGGAGTACCGGTGCGACGACTGTAACGACCTACAGTTGTACTGCCAGGAGTGTGCCATAGAGCGGCACCTTTGCAATCCGTTCCATCGCTTACAGGTGAGCCACTTCTTCGATGATGAGATCTAACATTACTCAACTTGCGTCATTGGTTAGTGCTGGTCCGGGACGCACTTCCGAAGGACGACGTTGAAGAAAATAGGCTTCCGCATTCAGCTTGGCCACCCGCCCGGAGAACGATGCCGCAACCCGGTCAAGGCGTTTGCGGACGATTTCATCGTCCTGGACGTCTCTGGCGTGAACGAGGTCGCCGTCGACTACTGCGGATGCGAAACGGCGCAAGCCAAATCGATCCAGTTGCTTCGCTCCCGGCTTGTCCCAGCAACTGGCGTTGATCCGAAGACCGCCGCCACATTCCGTCTAATGGAGTTCTACCACCTTCTACATAACCAATCGAAGGTCTCCGGGTTTGAGTTCTACAACACGCTCACTCGTCGGACCGATAATACAGGAACTTGCGAAATCAAGGTACGCCGTCTTGTTGACGTCAAGAATTGTTCGGAGCCTCACAGAATGCCACAGTCTCGGTACACCAGCTTCATGCGAATGGCGCGCATGTGGTACCACCTCAAGCTCCTCAAGCGATTTGCCCGTGGCCATGATCCACGCGGGGCGAAGGCGACAGCTCCGGGCTCTTGCGCGGTGCTTTGTCCTGCATGCCCGCAACCCGGTATCAACCTACCCGCAGACTGGGCTTCAGCTCCCCCGGAACGAAGGTGAGACTTCGGATGAACTATCTTGAGCAGTTAGCAACTGACGATGAGCTTAGCTGGCTGTATCGTCTGTTCGTTGGAATAGACGCTAACTTCCGGTTGAAACGGAAGAAAGTGTCGTCAGATTCAGCAGATCCCGGCTTTAACAATGGGATCGCCTATTTTGTGGAGGAACGCGCGTACAAGGAGCATTTGGACAAGCACGACAAGCACGACATTGAGGACACCAGCACGTGCAACAACCATGACGCGGTCAAGCTCGCGAACATGCGGGGAAGTCATGGTACGGCGGCTAGTGGCGTCGCAACGGTCGAGTGCGTTCGGCATGACATGAAGCGCCCATGCTCCGTTGGCGACCTGCAGAAGGGTGAAAGGCAAGTAATGACTGTAGTGGATGTAGATTCCCTGTACTCATCGTGATATAGGTATGTCAACATGGACTACCTATTTGCGAGCAGCATCCAGCACACTACCCCCGGAGTGGACAAGATCCGTCTCGTCTAGTGCAGAGCACGGGTCGTGGGAACCCGCCCGGGTACCGGGTACGGGTACACCGCGGTCCGGGTTCGGGTATGTTTTTGTGGACCCCGGTACCCGCCTTGGTACCCGTGGGTATAGTTCCCCTTTGGGAAGTTAGGGTGGCGCGCGAGGCTGCCCTTGGTGGCTGACAGTGGCTTGAAATATTATTAAAAACTGTACAGTAATGTGACAGGCTACATGCCGTGCATGAGACTCAGAATCGCTGCCAGTTGGTCACGTCCACATCAATCCGTCCACATGGCTCCGAAACGTGTTGTTGCAAGCCCCGAATCTTCACCGCCTGCAGGGAAGCGCACGCGCTTCCTCACGGAAAAGGCACAGGCAGCCATCAGCGAGAAGCATGCATCGAAGCCTAAACAGCCCGAGGCCACAGACACCGAGCCGGACGTTGCGCCGGAGAAGTCCACTGCACAGGTCTGAAAGGCTCTTGATTTATATAGACTTATATTCTGAACCCAACTTAGGCTGACCCAGAACCTGCGCCGTCAGCCGCAAAGGCAAACCGTGATCGTCGTCGCCGTGTTGTCGACAGCAGTGATGGGTCGAAGTCCTCAGGTGACGATGATGATGTTGTTGAGGTTGATGAAAACGGGCGCCGCAAGAAGGCTGCAGCTCTAAAGGAAGAGACCCCTGAAGAGGAGCTCGGTGAGCACTTCACAACACAGGGGACAATACAGCACTTACACATTATTAGAACGACTGAGCAAAGAGTGGTCAGCGCCAGTGTACGCTTTCTACAAGACGGAAGTTACTATCAAGGTTGACGAGAAGGGGAAGCGAGCGCACCTGTTTGCATGCGCCAATCGAGGCTGCTCAACAACCATCAAACGCTGGCTCGACAAGCAAGACCGAAACTCGACGAGCAATCTTCGGAAACATGTGAAGAAATGCTTTAGTGAGGAAGCTCTAGCATCCGCAGACGCTCTCGGGTCAGCGAAGAGGGCTCGTGAGGGTGTGAAGAAATACTTACGGTCAGGCGATCTTACTGTCTCGTTCAAACGTACCGGCAAAGGTAAAATTACGTACTCGGTACGCCAGCACACGCGCAACGAGACAAGGTAAGTATCAGTAACTCACACCTTATCATCAAGACTCATCTGCTCACCCATCAGAGCGGAAATCGTCCGCTGGGTTGCCGAGAGTATGCGCCCGTTCTCCATCGTCAATGATCGCGCGTTCCAGAGTTTGATGAAGACGGGTCGTCCCGAATACTGGCTCCCATCGCGATGGACCGTCGCCCGCGATGTCCAGAACGTCTTCACGCGTACACGCGCCCGCATTGCGAAAATGCTGCAGGTGAGTACACATCGATGCAAGTGATTCTTTGGGACATACCTTACGTTTCCAACAGGAGTTCGATGGTGAACTCAACTTCACCACCGACTGTTGGACCTCCCCGAATCACAAGGCAATGGTCGCCTTTGCAGTGCACTTCGAACAGAACGGCGCACCTGTGCAGCTCGTTCTCGACGTTGTCGAACTTGCAAAGGCGCACTCAGGTATCAACCTGGCCGTTGTCTTCACAAGTTTGCTGAAGGATCTCGGTATTGACACCAAGGTATGAGTCTGAAGCCTCGATTGAAAAGAATGAAGTACTCACTGTTTGTGTAGATACTCGCTGTCACCGCAGATAACGCATCGGCAAATGATGTGATGATCGACGAGCTCGACGAGCTCGTCGATTCGTTCCGTGGCCAAGCAACGCGCGTTCGCTGTTTTGACCACATCTTGAACCTAGTGGTCAAGACTTTACTGCGTCAGTTTGATGTCACCCCGGTGAAGAAAAAGAACGCGCGCGACGTCGCTCTGGATGCAGCAGAGGCTGCCTTGCGCGATCTTGCGGCTGATCTTGAAGACATCGAGGTCGATGATGACGATGATGACGGGAGTGAGTGGGATATGGATGCCGTCGATCTCGACGATGTCGAGGGCTGGGTCGATGAGCGGCTGGACTTGACGGAAGAGGAGGTGGCCGAGCTTGAGACGACTACGCGCCCCGTCAAGCTCGTGCTCGCGAAAGTCTGTTAATACACCTTGAATGATATGGCATTGACACTCACCATGTACACAGCTCCGCAAGTTCGCTCATGGCGTGATCAACTCGACCACAAAGCTACTCCCTGCATGGCGCGAGAAGCTCTTGCAGCTTGAAATGCCGTCCGAGAACATGCCGCGTGACGTTCGTACGCGCTGGAATTCAACGTATGAGATGCTTCAGTTCGCCCTGGAGTTCCGAGAAGCTATTGATGCACTCACCGGGGACCGCGCTATGGACTTGCGGCGATTGGAGTTGGACGATGGCGAGTGGAAGATCGTGAGCCAGTTGTGTGACATTCTGAAGGTTCGTCACATACTGTTACATTTTGTCACCACTCAACTCCCGCCACGTGCGCCTGATAGGTATTCTGGGACGGGACGAAGTTCTTCTCTCGCGCTGTCCCCAACCTTGCGACCGTCATCCCGGCGATGGACCTACTCGATGAACGCATGACTGATTTCTCCCTCGACGCGAGTCTTTTACCTTCAATCCGTGCAGGCGTCAATCTTGCGAAGAAGACGTTGAACCGGTACTATGGTAAGACTGATGAGTCGAACGCATATCGCATCGCAATGGGTGAGTATGCATTGGCTTATCATTTGCACGAGCTACCTACTGATTGTCATACAGTGCTTCATCCACGTCACAAGCTTCAATACTTTGAGAAGGCGAGATGGCAAGACGGGTGGATCAAGAGCGCCGAACAACTCGTCCGCGACGAGCACAAGGATTGGCTTGAGCGCCATCGCAAGACGGGCAGCGCCTCAACTGACGGTTCGTCTAGCAGCGAAGCGGGTGGTAGCGGAGATGACGGCAAGGGTACCAAGGTGCGTACAAGACGTCGTCTGATCTTGTTCGCGATGAAGGCTGAGCTCAACTTACAGCAGTCAAAGAACATTTTTGACAATATACCTGCGCTTGCGCCGCCAAAGCCCATCAAAGTCACTGACGAGCTTGACGCCTACCTGACGTCGAAGGTCGAGGCCGTCCAAGACCCAATCGCCTGGTGGCATGATAATTGTCGCACGTACCCGACCCTCTCACGGATGGCTATAAGCTATCTAACCATCCCAGGTATGTCTTGTGGTTGAATGCGTGGTCAGTGACAGTGCTCATGCATGAAAGTAGCGACGTCTGTTGACGTTGAGAGGATATTTAGCCGGGGCCGCTTGCTTCTGCCCCATATCCGCAATGGGATGTCAGCGCGGTCAATCCGCGCTCTTCTGTGCTTGGGCGACTGGAGTAAGAAGGGCTTCATCCGGGACGAGGATGTTGATGTTGTCACGAAGGAGGCAGATGATGGTGCGAAGACTTCTGTGCGCGTTGCAGCTGCGCCGATCGAGGTAGACTAAGTAACTACAGTGTTTATTGGTAGTACCACAATGAACGAAATGCAACCGTCGATGTACCTTCATGCCCAATACCCGCTGCTACCCGCCGTACCCGCCGTGACCCGCGCTAACCCGCGCAATACCCGGACCCGTGCGGACGGGTCCGTACCCGCCCGGGTAAGGGTCCGGGTATAGCTCGGGGTACCCATGGGTATACCCGTGCTCGGCACTAGTCTCGTCGTCTCGTACGACATCGCATGTCAATGGAGCACCAATCTATGGAGCAGGATGCTCCGTTACGACCCGCGATGGAACTACGACGCTCGCACCATCACGTTTCTCATCCCGAAGTTCCACTTACCGGCCCATCAAGATAGCTGCCAGACGAAGTATTCGTTCAACTACGTCAAGGGTGTTGGCCGGACCGATGGCGAGGGCGTGGAACGTGGCTGGGCCGCGGTCAACGGGTTTTCTGGCAGCACGAAGGAAATGGGGCCTGGCTCTCGTCGAGATGTGCTCGACGATGCCTTCGGAGATTACAATTGGAGAAAGGTCACTCACCTCGGTGCGTCATGATGCCACCTCACCCTTACCATGACTGACTGCTATTTAGCGAGAACGCTCTTGGACCGCATGAAGAGCGCTGTCATAGAAAGCGCGGAGCAAACCGTGATCTTCGAAGAACTTACCGCGGTGACTGATCGAACGCGCGTCACGGAGTGGATGCAGCAAGTCGAAGCGTGGGAGGAGGGAGCGGATTTTAATCCGTTTGTAGCCACACGTCATCGTGAGTATCGCTTTCGTTATGCCCTGCAATCAAACATGACTCATGAGATTCCGTTGTGCAGCTATCACTCTTGCAGCCGTTCGGCGCGAGCTCGCTGAAGAGGAGTCCGCAGGCATCGCCAACGGGACCCTCATACCTCTGCATGAGAAGGTCTCCCCAAGCGCGTTGATAACGGCGGGACTTGAGCTAGAGGACCATCAGTAAGTGATCCGAGCCGCTTCGAGCCCTTAATTTTCGCAACGTTCACACACACACACTTCCTCAGACGGCGTCTACGTTCAGACGCTGCCGAACTCAGTGCCCACTCTCCGGATGATCACATCAGCTTTTCGTGCAATTCCTCTGACGGGCCCTGTCAGGGGCTTCATAAGCGTTCAGAATGCTTCAGATTGCATCAGAACCGCTCATACGGCCAGCCCTCAAGAACTCGACTTTTTGCGAATTGTTGTTGTCAGAGAGAATTTTCAGAGAGCATCAGAGAGTGTCAGAGTGGTCCAGAGTGGTCAGATAACATGTCAGACACGTCAGACTCTCAGTGATTCCAGATGACATATGCTCAAAAACGGTATATTTCGGTCACTATAGACAGGTCTGATGGCATACTACTGTATATACATGGGGAGTGCACAAGAAGACGAACCAAGGAACACGAACAGCACTCAGTGGCGATACTCGCAGTAAGCTCGCACCCGCCTACCCGGTGGGCCCATGCGCATCGAGACTCTATTTGTCGAGCACTAATCCATGAGCTCACACAAGCCCCGCTACTTGCTCGGCGCGTGCAGGTCATCCGTTGTGCTCACGCGTCTTCAGGCTTCGTCGCACTCCCCTGCTTCCGTGTTGTGCTCTGCGTCTGCGTCGCACTGGGCTCGCCTTGGCTCCGGTCTGCACCCCACGAAACGGGTGAGGACGAGAAGCTGTTGATGTCGCTCGTCGGCGTGCTGCCCGTCGCGGTGTACGACGACGGCACGGGCGCGGGCGCAACGAGCTGGTCCGGATGGCGATACTCTGCGAGCTGGAAGCGCTGCTGGGGGATCGCGTTCGCGGTTGGGACCGACTGCACGGATGATCTCGTCTGCATGCCTGGTTGCGCGGGAGCTTGTGGCTGCGCCTGCGATGGCTGCGAGTGAAAGCCGTGCTGTCGGGCATAGACATATTCGGTGATGTCACGCTCGCGTAGCCGCGACGACCGCGGGAGGCTATGTTGTGGGCGACTGAAGGACGTGTTCGTGGGTGTTTGTTGGGGATACGCCGGGTTATAGTGGTCGTGAGTCTATGGCGCGTACTGCTGATATCCGTACTGGCCGTGTCCCTGGTCCATTGAGATGGCCATACTTACCCTGCATCGACTGCTGCTGCTGCCCATACTCGAGATGGGGCATGCTGCCGGCCTGCGCGTAGCCAGTAGCACCGGCGTTTGCGTACTGCCCGCCTTGGGCGAAGCTCTCAGCCCACGCGTTGTAGTCTGCTATGCTATGCCACACTGATCCTGCTGCTGCGCTGACTGCGCGGGATCGTAGAGCATGGGCGGCACGCCGAACATCAGAGGCTCTGGTGTTGGGTGAGATGAGGACGATGTACTCATCTTTTCCTTCCTTCGTGCCCATCCGTCGCGCCCCGGTGTTCATCGCTGGAGTTTGTTACGGCCGTTGGGCCATGCTCGGATCGTGGGGTGCGTCACACGTCGATTTACGTGCCGACGTCTCGCGTCACCTTAAGAACCGTTTGATGTACACTTACAGAGCTGATGTTAGCGGTGCACGAACATGTCGGGCTCACCTTCGCTGTGCTCGCCCTTGTTGCATGAGCACACGCGCACTGGGGTTGTATCCCCCATGTTCGTCTTTGTTGGATTGTCCTTGGGAGGTATTCGCTGGCCGAGGTCGTCTGTGTGACATCATTCATAAGCAGACGCGTACTCACCAGATACTGTGACCGCCGCCCATCTCTCGCAGGCCTCCATCGCCGCTGCTTCTCGCACGTCCTTGAATCTCGTTGCGGTTGCATGGCACTCGATCTTGAGAATCGTGGCTGACTAATCGTCCACGTCAGCTCTTGACAGGCCAGCGTATGGCTTCTGGAGGTCAATGGCAGGAGGGCGAGGACAGGTGAGGACGTAGATGTGAGATGCGGGGACGAGAGGAGGTAGGGCGGACACGAGGGATCGGAGGGGAAGACCAGTGAGAGCGAGAGGAAAACCGGTAAGCGCGCTTGACGGGTCGGGCCGCCAAGGCGCTTAGGACTTGAACTCCTCACTACCGCCTCCACCAGCCACGTCAACGGTCAGCAAAGCTCGATACCTTGCGCGCGCACGACACACTGCACAGCCTCACTCACATACCTGTTGACCCGAGTTTCACGCACGCAACGAACGATGCTCGCGTTCGCAAGGCCAGCAGCTCGCCGGTCATCATCTTCGCCCTACGTCCTCGTGCCGCGTGCGGCGGTCAAGCCACTGGCACAGCTCATACCCAACTGCGTCCTCCCGGCTTACCTACAGCACGAACTATTTGCGCAGCACCTGCCTTTGGCACCCTTTGCGCACGCAGCGGGATGTCGACCAGCTACGAACACTGGCCCGTTCACCGTACATCACTCACCATCGCACATGTTTGACAGGTGCATCCAGCCATCGGAGACGCAGTGCGACGCCGAGCTGCGATGGCTTGTTAATGCACCGGTACGGCCGTTTTGCGATGGAGAAGCGAGTGCAATACGGAAGTAGAGGATACAGGACATATCTTGGATATGTTCAAAGGTACGCCATTAACTTTTCTGTGCCCGTGCCAGCGAGTATATACACCCGCTCGCTCACATACCTACATGCTTACCCACTCATTGAGCCACCTGACAGTGGCGTACCCGCTCCTCTGTCCATTCTCCTGTGTCGTACTTGCCCGCCTGCTCGCGGCTTGCCCAATTGCCCGTTCGCCCGATCAGCCACCCGCCGCCTGCCCAGTCATCCGCACGCCTCGCTCGACTGCCACGCCTCGCTCAGCTGTCCATGCGCCTCGCTCAGCTGTCTGCTCACCTCACTCCCTCACTCGGCCGTCCATCTGCCCAATTTCGCGCGGTTTGCAGACGGGCTCGCGGACCGCGGTGCTGTGCTTCTCTATCCGCTAGTCACCCTGCCCCGAGGTGATGCATGCTCTGGGCATCCCGACGACCTGTGCAGCTCCCCGTGCAGCTTGCGCGCAGGAACGGCCAGCTCGTGCACAAGGTGCGCTCAGGCTCCCTAACCCTTCACTGCCCATGCCCCTCCGACGTATCCTGCCCCGGACGGGACTGGGCTCTTCTGCCGCCGCTCGGCCTCCTCGGTGAGCACAAGCACGTCTTCCACTGGACGTTTTGCACGCTGTGCAACATCTGCCTGGACGCGGACCAGCACGCGCAAGCGCAAAACGTGTCCATCAACTGCCTCCTCACGCTTCGCGGCGTGCCCTACAATCTCGACATGGCAAGACGGTGGACGGCTAGCATGCGTGGCTGTAGACAAGCTGGCGCGCATCGAGAGCGAGCACGGGGAGTAGGTACGGGATGGTGCAGCTGTGGATGTGGAGAGAATGCAGGAGATGAGGTGCACGAACCCGACGAGACCACGTGCAAAGACGCCGCCCCATTCGTGCACTGTAGACATGTATTATACTACAGATTGTAGTAGTCTCCAAATATATTGTGTTTTCGGCCTTCTTTTGTGAGGCACCGGGCCATGCCAATTCGAGGACATATGCTATCTGATGCACTGTGCTATCTGGCACTGTCTGGTACTAGCTGAGGCTAACTGAGATGTTCTGATAAATTTGATGTCTGAAGTGTGCTGATGCCTCTGAAGGCCAGCTCTCAGATGCACATACCATCAGAGATTGCACAGTTTCCTGATGCAACGCGCGCACCTTATCCGCCGCCGCAACAATCTGCAAATTCGCATCGACGCCTGGCGAGAGATTCAGCTTCTCTACATGCCAGGTGTAGCAACACTGCGTAACCAAGCCGCAGAAGCCTCAGTAGCCGCAGTCCTCGCCGAGAACGCCGCACTCTACCTCCCATCTGACGTCTACAATCACCCTCAAGTCCCGCCGGCGCCCGGTTTGCTTGACATTGAGCGACGTATGCGCCTAGCCCAGGCTAACGACTCTCTTGACCAGATGCGGCGTCATCTTCGTGCCCGCACGAAGCTCTTCAACATCAAGGATCGAGACGTGAGGGGCCAACGCTACAACACCCGGTCCCGCGCATACATCGATACAATACAAGCAAAGATTGACGCCGACGCTGAGCGTTATCGCCGAGCGCATGCTGCTCTCTATACCATAGATCCCGAGGATAGCGGACAGTGGCAGAAGGCCCTCCGTTCACTCAATCGGAGCGATATCCGCGCAATGCACCAAGGCCTTGACCACGAGACCGAGGGCCGCAAGACCCTTTCATGGATATGGCGGACGAGCGGGACAGTAGGTCACGACGATGACGAGGACGACCAAGAAGGTGACCTTGTTCCTGTATGAATGTAAAACCGTCACTGACATGCTTGCTTTAGCTGTACGCATCGAGTGGTGCAAAGCACGCGCGCGCGCAATGCGCTGGGACGAAGAATGCGATCTCCTTAACGAGGAGATGCGACGAGTCGGCGCCTTCTTCAAGTGGCAGGCAGACTGGTGGACGGACCAGGTCCAAGAAGACTGGGATGCTGCTGTAGGGCGTACGGCAGAGCATGCCCAGGGTCGTCGAGCATACGCACTCAGGCAGGCAGACTTACGACGTGCACTCTATGACTACTGTACGCATGCTTGGAGGAACGTTCCTGAGTTCATCCGACTCTGTAGGAATAGACCAGACATATCAGGCATTATTCACGCACAAACGTAGCACCTGGACTTTGTATCACATTGCATTGTAATGATAGCTAATGGACTAGTATACAATGGAGGTTTCGTACATCAAGCTTCAGGCTATATACAAAGTGTTGCAGCCCTCTGACATCGTGACGTGGGCCTTGCACATCGCATCAATGGATGCCATATCCCATGCTGCGGGCTTCATACATCACCTCTGGGGCTTCCAGCACCGAGCCACGGACCCTTATACATCGCGGCAGACTCTTACACATCGCGTCAGAGGCGTCATACATCGCAGGCAGGACCCATACATCATTGACGTAGGCCTTAGACATCGAGCCCTGGGGCCTTATACATCGTGTCACGGACCTCAAGCACCGGCTCCCGAGCCTCATACATTGTGCCGCAGGCTTCATACACCGAGCCACGGGATATCGTGTCCCCGCCTCATGCAGCGCGCTGCATCACGCCGCGGGCCTCATACATCGCGCCGCGCAAGCCTTGAACGTTGCGCCAACCGTCCCATACATCACGCCACCCGACTCATACATCGTGCCACAGGCTTCATACATGGAGGCGCGGGACATCGTGTCCCGGCCTCATGCAGCGCACCACATCACGCCACGGACCTCACACATCGCGGCATAGGCCTCATACATCGCGCCGCGCAAGCCTTGAACGTCGCGCCACAGACTCCATACATTGAGCCGCGGAACATCGTGGCCCGGCCTCGTGCAACGCGCCACATCACGCCGCGGGCCTCATACATCGTGCTCGACGCCTCATACATCGTGCTCGACGCCTCATACATCGTGCTCGACGCCTCATACATCGTGCTCGACGCCTCATACATCGTGCTCGACGCCTCATACATCGCGCTCGACGCCTCATACATCGTGCTCGACGCCTCATACATCGCGCCTCAACGCCTCATACATCGCGCCTCGATACCTCATACATCGTGCAGCGCAGGCCTACAACGTCGCGCCGGCGGCCTGATACATCGCGCCGCGCAGGGCCGGACGCCCCATACATGGCGCTGCACAGGCCTCGAACGTCGACCCACAGGCCTCATACATCGAGCTGCAGGCTTCATACAGCAGGACACATACCTTGTACACCAGACTGCAGGCTTTGAATGTTGAGTCATGAACCTGCACTTCATGCCTTGCCGAGCAAATCGAGCAAAGCTTGAGGCATTGTTGACGTGCAGCGTTGGGAATGGTCGACAGGTACACGTGGACGCCGATAGACTCTATCCGAGCGACAAGCAGCCTCAGTCATATGTTCAATAGCAAAGGAACGAATCACTCACCAAGGACAGCCCTCGAGGACCACCTCGAGGACTCGCGTCGCACTCAGAGCATCCGTCCCTCTCAAAAGCCCCGATTGAGGATGGCCTACAGACAGGAGGGTGGGCATCATCAGAATGAGCAATCAGCGACGTAGAAATGGTGATCAACGTACCAAAGCCATGGGTCGAGGGTGTCCCGTCGTAGGGAAGTCGACGTCGCAAGGTCGACCCTGGGCTGGGACGAGGGTGTCCAGTCGTAAGGAGGTCGAACCTGGGCTGGGACGAGGGTGTCCAGTCGTAAGGAGGTCGACCCTGGGCTTGGACGAGGGTGTCCCGTCGTAAGGAGGTCGACCCTGGGCTTGGACGAGGGTGTCCCGTCGTAAGGAGGTCGACCCTGCGCTCGCCGAGCATGGAGAACGGTGGCAGGGTGGTGGTGGTGGAGGAAAGCGCAGCCAGCAAAGCTAGGCGCCAACGCTACCCGGAAGTGTGCTGTCTGACTTATGTAAGTATCCGGAGCGCTCAACATACCGGCCTTTCCCGTCCGGCTCGCTTATGCGTACTCGCGAGAGACTTATACTTCAAGTTATAGGGAGGGTTTATACATCGCGGGATGTATGAGTCGCGGGTCGGACGGGTGGTACATCGGACGTCGAGACGCGATGTATGAGCTATACATCGCGGGACGGGTGATACATCGGACGCCGATACGCGATGTATGAGTCGAGAGGGAGGGTTTATACATCAGGAAAAGCCTCACTTGAGAATACATCAAATTACAGAGTATTGTACAGAACAATGAACAATTACAACTATTCGCCTGTTCGGAATATTGTAGAGAATTAGCTACCCCCCCGAATTCCTGTACGAATTTCAGACAATATATTGAGTATTTGAGTGCATTATGAGTACCTACCTCAATATTATGTGTCACAGATTGAAGAATATAGTACATATGATTCATCATTATTCATGTTCTCATGTCGTCAGAAGCCTCACACAGACAGATATTTTAAGAACATTAGATGAATTGCGAGGTAGTACTACTGTCTAGATGGAGCGAGTACATGTGATGAACAAACAAAGTACTATTAGCAAGCCTTGATTCAATTCTGTGTCCCAGTGTCCGTGACGAAGAACATGTATGTAAGCTGGAAGTCCCGTAGAGAACATGCAACATGCGCGACAGAAGCTTGAATGCAAGGTTAGAGACGAAGTCAAGGTTTCAAACAATGTTCCACGGCTCAGAGGCCCGCCGCAGATGCGAGTATGGCGAAGTTCGGCGTGCCAAGCCCCGTAACCTGCGAGAGCCATCATCGTCATCGTCAGAACCGCACAACGCACACAACACAGTACAACACTCACAGGATCCCATCCCTGCGCGGCGTAGAACCCAGTCGTACCCCCACTGCACGCGAGGTTGTTCTCGCCCACGACATCGTTCAGCACACCCATACCCGCCGCGGTGCTACACAGCCGCGGGTTCAAGAACCCGAGTATGCTCTTGCCCGCGCTGAGCAGCTGGTCATTCAGCAGCGTGACGATCACCGCGAACGTCGGCGTAGAGGTAGAGCAGCTCGTCCCACTCACGATGAGCGACACCGCGCTGGACTTGATGTCGTACCGCGTGCCGTACGCCGATACGTCCGGGTACGCGCGGCCGGTCGCGCTCAAGAGCCCGCTCGAGTTCGACCCAAGCGCGCTGAGGTACGAGGCGATGGCGGCAGACTGGTAGGCAGACTGTGCGAAGCAGTTCGAGGAGCCGCCCCCGGAGAAGCTCGCTCCGATCTCTGTGGGCTGCTCGGTCGTCGCCCCGACGGTGGTCACATCAGAAGAGGTCAGAGGAAGAAGGACGAAGCTGGGGCGCACGTACTAGGGACAGCTTGTAGGGAAGACAGACACGAACTTCGTGCAGAAGTTGCTGGATGCCTGGTTGCCGGACACACCGCCGTCACCAGAAGCGTAGAGGAGGGAGACGCCCCGCGCACCCAGGTGGTGGGTTAGGCAGTGAGGAAGGCCAAGAGAGGGAATAGGACATACACGTACAATTCATGCAGCATCTCAGCCGCGCTAGCCCACTCTACTCTGCACCCGCCGCATCCTTCGTGAGCACACTGGCGACGCTTTTGCAGCGTCGCTGGTGCTGTTATGTACTGCTGACTTGTTGGGTTGGACGCGCGTTGACGTCTCGAACATGCCGCGGCGTACCTGTACCTCTGACAGGCCCATGGTAGGCCTGTCTCTTCATGTAATGGCCGCCTTTCATGATCTTGAGGCGCGGACGAGTGGCGGTCGAGCGGCACAGAGCAAGGCCGTGGAGGAGGGAGTGAAGGGAGGGTCAGCACTTGCGCGCTGGCAGGACGGACGCAAGCGCTGTCGGACTTGCCTTATGCGGCCTGCATCGGAAGATCCCGAAGTGGGCGTTTAGGACTTGCTCTGCGCGCGACTCTCGCGTCGATCCTCCCTCCACCTCAGTCCTCAATCCGTGCACCGCCTTCACCGTCCCAGCAGCATCCCGCGGCCGCGCCACGTCCCAAATTGGACGCCCGCCGCATTCATCAATCTCCCCGCCACCGCCACCGCTGCCAGCGCGTCGCATCCGCGGTGCTGTCGACGGCGAGGCAGCGCGACCTCGCTGCTTCCCAGCCTTCGCGGATGCGACAGAGGAACGTCGCTGTTCCCGCGCTCAACGCGAAGAACGAGCAGCTGGCGACGCGACGCGCAAGAGACCGGCGCGAGACTGCGCCGCCCACCTGCTACAACAGCCCTGCGCGCTCGCGTCTCAAACGCGAGCAATGCATGGGGGCGAGGTCGAGAGAGGGCTGCCGGCGGTGAGCAGATGCCGCAGGTGAGTAACACTTCCTGCGATTACACCGTCCTCATCCTGCGCGTTCGCGTGTATCCCCGCCCACCTCCGTGTGTCCCAGCTGCTCGCCCAGCCTGCTCACGCCAGCGTACGTACCCATCCACCCACCACCATGATCGCTCGTTGCACGACCATTCACCTTCCCTCCCGCACGACCATGATTGCTCGCCCCGCATGATCGCCCCTTGCCCGCACGATCACCCCTTGCGCGCGTGGTAACTCGTCGCCCACCTGCATGCATGATCGCGTGCACGCACGATCGCCCGCCGCACCCGCGTGCACGCACGATCGCCCGCTGCACCCGCGTACTCGCACGTTCGCAAGCCCATCCCCCACCTCCTTGCCCGCCTGACCCTTCACCGGTACCCGCACCCGTCGAAACCCGCGAGACCCGCGGACAACCCGTACCCGCCGGGCAGGTATCTGACCCCCGTGGGTACGGGTACGGGTAAGCTCCCGGACACCCGGGGGTTTACCCCTGCAATTCACTAATAGTATTATTACAGTTCAACGTGCAAGGAGGAGGGCTGCCAGCACGCATACCTGGCTGCCAAACGCACGTGCACGCAAACAAGCAAGCAGGACAGAGGGCAGGCACACGCGCGACGACGACACGCACGGCGACGATGAGCGTGCAGGGCGAATGCCCAGCACGCTAACACAACCAATGAACTGCATATGCACGAGGAAAGAACGGGCGAGGGCAACTTGTGAAGGGCAGTGGGCGAGAATGAGCCCGCGGCAGCGGGCAGGGCCAGTGCACGGCAAGACTAGGCGGGCGCGAGGGTGAGTGAGCGGGGAGGAAGGCCGGACAGTAGGGATGGGCGAGTGGTGAGGGGGGCCAGCGACCGGCGGGCACAGACGCAGTCGTGCCGCATTCGCAGAGCCACGCAGGATGTCCCTTATCCCGCGGCCCTGCGCCTTTGGTGGAGGAAACTAGATTAGTCTGCGCTGTCGAAGTACAAACGACTATGATACTCATGTAATGTACACCGATTCGTAGAATTGATACAATTTTATCAATGTTTTGGCCCATATCGCTTGTTCGACACCAAGACAGATAATACTATATCATGTACAGCCCCTCAATGGCATTCTCAGTAATCCCTCGCTCATTCTAACAATACTGGGCAATGTATTGATTGTTAGCTATGTTCCGTAGAATGTGTCTACGTTATCTTTGTTCTGCGCAATATTCATAACTTCTCACGAATTTCCAAAAGGGGGTTTTCCCGATGTACATGATACATCGCGGGATGTATGAGTCGCGGGACGGATGATACATCGGACTTCGAGACGCGATGTATGAGTCGCGGGATAGTTCATACATGAGGTGTCCGGGGCAATGTATGAGCTATACATTGCGGGACGGGTGATACATCGGACGCTGAGACGCGATGGATGAGTCGCGGGACAATTTATACATGAGGCGTCCGGGGCGATGTATGAGCCATACATCGCGGGAGGGTTTATACATCAGACGTCTGCGGTGCGATGCATGAGTCATACACCGCGGGACAATCTATACATCAGACAGATGTATGAGTTATGCATCAAGGCTTGCTGCCGCTGGCCATCTGCAGTCACAGCACTCATGTATGAGTCCTGGACTACAACAACAGTATATTTATGTATAGGAACGCCCTTTACGCCTGAGCGAGAGGCCTGGTACTTGACTGTGCCGCCCTCATCCCTGATATGCTTCGCCAAGCCGGGTTCACGCAGATAAGCGTTGAGCCCACGTTGATCCCGCTGGGTAGCAACGGAGGAGAGCTCGCCGCTGACGCTCGCAAGAACTGGATGGGCGCCTTTCGCGGAGTGAAGACTCCTGTACTCAAGGCTGGGGGTTTCGGGCATGTCGGTTCGGAAGCAGATTTCGATTTGATGATGGACAAGATGGAGAACGAGTGGCAGACCTCGCCGAACGCAGAATTACAGAACAATGTCATATGCGCGCGCAAGCCAGCGTGACGGACGTCAGTAGCTAGAATCAATGTAATATCAGTAGCCTGAGTATGCATTGGGCTGCAGTATTTCACATCGTAATGACTCCCAAAATCATGGGAATGCCAAGGACAACTCCCCGATGAGTGACATCCCGGTAGCACGATAGCTATCCTCGGTGAAACCCAGTGACGGAGCAGGATCTACAAAAGTCAACAACTGCGGCGACTGCGAATTCCACGTAGGCCATTGTATGTTGGCGAGATAGCTGACATTCGCTGGGACGTCTGGCGGTGCATTGGGATTCAGATTGTAGGCAAAGTTGCATCTTTGTCAGTTAAAGTGACTCTATTTTGATTCATTAATGTATTTTTTTCTGTATTAACTTGATTCAAAAATGTATCCATGTTGAGTCAGTATTAATACACTGGCCAATCCATGTCCCGAATTGGGTGACTTTAATGCAGTGATGACTTAATACACTTTTGATACACTGACTAAGCCACCTGACTCAGATCTCTTAATACACTTGTAAGACACCTGTAAGACACTCCTTAGCCATTGTCTAAGTTGCATGTTACACCATTAAAACAAATAGATACAGTCCTACTGCATACATATATGTGGTCCTGAGTCACTGGATTAAGTAAAATCAAGGGAGATTGGATTTTAAAAAAAAGGGCACAAGTGGGGTTTGAACCCCAGACATCAGCAAAGGTCACATAATCACACAATTAACTCGGACACCAGCATCACTAACCACTACACCATAGGTCTGTTAGAATCTAGGTAACACAATGTGATATGACACAATGCTGGAATGCTGGACTTAGACATATTTTGGATGCTGGCACAGGGTGCCCTGTATCAGTGGTGACTTAACCAGGTGCATTAGAGGTGACTTAACCAGGTGTATTAGAGGTGAATCAACATAGTGTATGAGTGCTAGCCAGACAGGTGACTCAATAGTGACTTAACCAACAATGGATGCTAGATGTCAAATTTGTCAGGTCAAAGGTTAAAGTCACTATTGAGTCACATAGTGTATTAATGTTAGCCAGACAGGTGACTCAATAGTGACTTTAACCTTTGACCTGACAAATTTGACATCTAGCATCCATTGTTGGTTAAGTCACTATTGAGTCACCTGTCTGGCTAGCACTCATACACTATGTTGATTCACCTCTAATACACCTGGTTAAGTCACCTCTAATGCACCTGGTTAAGTCACCACTGATACAGGGCACCCTGTGCCAGCATCCAAAATATGTCTAAGTCCAGCATTCCAGCATTGTGTCATATCACATTGTGTTACCTAGATTCTAACAGACCTATGGTGTAGTGGTTAGTGATGCTGGTGTCCGAGTTAATTGTGTGATTATGTGACCTTTGCTGATGTCTGGGGTTCAAACCCCACTTGTGCCCTTTTTTTTAAAATCCAATCTCCCTTGATTTTACTTAATCCAGTGACTCAGGACCACATATATGTATGCAGTAGGACTGTATCTATTTGTTTTAATGGTGTAACATGCAACTTAGACAATGGCTAAGGAGTGTCTTACAGGTGTCTTACAAGTGTATTAAGAGATCTGAGTCAGGTGGCTTAGTCAGTGTATCAAAAGTGTATTAAGTCATCACTGCATTAAAGTCACCCAATTCGGGACATGGATTGGCCAGTGTATTAATACTGACTCAACATGGATACATTTTTGAATCAAGTTAATACAGAAAAAAATACATTAATGAATCAAAATAGAGTCACTTTAACTGACATCACTGAAAGTTGACTGCACGATCACGTTCAGTACGGTGTCGCTTGAAATGGAACTGGACACCCACTCAGTGCGTCGGCTCCGATGTAATCGCCCACACCGAAGAACTCCACAAGATCAGTGGAATGATATGAACCGAGGTATGGCGTCGATTTGTCCCGCTTATACACTGTAGAAGTGTTAGCAAGACTCTCGAACATTCGAGACAATAGCTTACAGAAGCCCCAAGTACTGCACTGAGGCGTTACAGTCATCTGGAATAAGCGGCGTGGCGCCTGGAACTCCCAATCGCCTTGGAAAGCCGCGAGACGCTTGTACTGAGCCCTGACGAGACGAGGCGTGAGCTCGGGATTACACTGGTCATTGCTCTGCGGTCCCTACGTCAGATTGTATGCGTCTCCGGTCCCAAATGGCGAACCCTGGCTCACAATCAATGTCAGCAATTGCACTCAGGCCGCGAAGAAACGGTCTCACAAGAGCGAAATCACTGGGATAATCCTGAGAGATTGCTGTTATCTGTGAATTAGATGCGACTGGGATGTAACTAGCTGTATTCAGCTTCTTTCTGAGACACGTGCTCATACGCTCTCACTTCGTTTGCACGTATTCGGCAAATTCAGCGTCAGTCCTAGGATGTGTTCGTTAGTTAGCAGAGGTGCATTAGTGTTAACTTTTGTGGTACGACATACGTAATGTTGGTGTTTCCTAGGGAGAAAACGGTTCCCTCGTCGTCACAATCTCCAGAGACAGTTGGAACCTATTTCGAAGTCAAATAGTGATACATGGTGGCTGCTACATATGCATTACCTGAGCCCAATTGCCCATTGCGATGGACCGTTGAGGGTTGCGCGAGAATAGATCGTAGTCCAGCCTTGGCTGCCATGCCAGATTGAGGTTTGTGTAGTTGTATAAACCCGGAGTCGTGTTTATGGCATCCATCAACGTGTCCAATGGCACCTGTCGGAGACAGTCCAGCGTGTTGAGCTGGGCTGTGCACCCGGTGTACTGCACCAGCTGATCGTAGAACGGCTGACCAGCTGAGACGTCCCGAAGAGCATAAGGTGAACCCGATTCCTGGAGAGAATGATCATGTATGTACTCCACGCAATTGAACGACGTAATGCCTACCATGAAGGCACCGCGAAAGAGTCCGTTTGTGTTCCCATGATTTATCACAAGATGCAAACCTACGGATAACGCTCCTGCGCTTTCTCCCCAGCTCATGACGATCATGAGGTTAGCAAGCCCGAAGATTGGGACAACTAGTATACTCTCACTCACATAATGACTTTAGTGGAATCGCCGCCAAAATGTGTGATGTACTTCTGAACCCATTCCATGGCGAACCGCTCTAGGAGATAATTGCACTTCGTCAACAGTCTAATGCCAAAATTGGAGAGTACATACGATCTCTCAATCCGACGTTTGTTGCTTTAGCGGATTGCACTTCTGTACTTGCCAGGAACCCGAATGCTATACACGCGAGAACGTGAATTGCGAATAAGCTTCGACGCAGGGTAGTGCACTGAAAGTAAACAGTGCCATACCGTTCAATCGATAATTTGCAGAGACAAAGATGACCGGTTCATTGAGAGCAAGGGAGCGCTCCACCAATGGTCTGCCGTCGTGGAGGGATGTGTCCCCTGTCTCGAAACCACCTAAATACAGAGGTGCGGCGCTGAGCTTTCCGGCCGATATTTGATCGCAGAATACACTGCGTACCCCCGTAGATCCACTGATCAGCGGTTTAGATCATCAGCATGATCATCGAACATATAGGATCATACAATGTGTAGGACCTACAAACAGTACCGGTAGCTTCTGAGTTGAAGGAATGGTGGACGGCTTGATGACATTCACGAAGAGACCTATATACGCCAGTGCATCCTTGCATATCAGCTTCCTACTAGTAGTGCTCAGACAAGACCGTCATGCGTACGTACAGTCTTCGGATACATTCAGCGGGGGGGCTTGGGGAATGGGGAATGGCAACACATTCGGTATAGCTGATGCTTGTTGAGGACACGCCGCTCCGTAGTTCGTTGCTAACTGAATTTCGGATAGCTGTTGAGGCGCCTGAGGGAGTGCAAAGCGCAGAGCGCCCAAACTTGGTAGAAGGGCACAAGGTTCGGTTAGACTCCAGACACAAGTCGAGCAGCGTATGCGTCACTCACGGAGGCTGTGCATATGGAATGCCTAAGAAAGATGTTACACTCCCGTTGACTACCCCTTCGAATTGACCATATGGAAGAGTCACGAGAGACGAGGACGTTTGCGCTGAGTGTACGCCCGAGACAATCGAGAAGGTTGTGACAACCAGCAGATGGAACAGCATGATCAAACCGGTAGGGATAATGTATGGTAGTGGTCTCTCTCTTGTCGCTCGAGTCCGAAATGTTGATATATGCTAGAATCCAGCAATTCTGGCGCCAACTTAGGACGCCTGGTTGCCCAATGCTGCACCTCTCTCTTAGGTCATCATCACAGTGAACGCCGCAAGTATGTTAGCGGGCGCACTATTACCCAATGTAACCAGGCACAGGAGGACATCGTAACCGCGGATGTTCGATAGATGCCCCACATTCCTGTGTCATCAATGGTTTCATGAGACGTATTTCCGAGCGCGCCGACTCACCGACTCAGAGCAACGACATACATAGCCTCATGGTCAACATAAACCCAGAACGGACATGAAGTTTGCCGGCGCTCGGCCTTTACAAGACTCTGTTTCACTGAGGAGGAGGGAAAAAAGTGAGCGTAGTGGACAAGTGTTAACCACATGCAACACCAACAGGGATCCGGTGCATCGCTGCTTCGTAAGCATTGCTGCCGCGGAGGAGGAGGAGGAGGAGGGGTCCATTTAGCCACCGGCCGAAGTAGCGGACGGGCGTCCCGGCGTCTTGACGGTGACAGCGCTCACTAGGTACACCATCCGAGTTAGCGTCAGTGAGAGTCGTGGGTTACGTCGTTCAAGAGACAAGTGATAACCATACATTTGGCAGAGCTCGACGTGGTTTCATGATCATGATGAGTTGAATTACAGTGCAGCTGTCACTTCGTAGTGCTGGCGCTCCTGCGTACCGGCGGTAGTACAGGCTTCCAAGGCACCGCCTTGAATCAGGTCCAGTGAATGAGTCAATGTACATGGTTCGGTAAGATGGTCAAGGCAGCAGCTGTAGACTTGCCTCGGACTCCTGCAGTTCGCGAGTTGTTCGCGAGTCGTCACGCTCACGTGAGCGATCGTCACACGGTTGTCCAACGGTTGTCCGACCGCAACCTAAGTAGATACGATCGCCTCTGTCCCCGAGTGCGATGACTCATGAATTCATTCACTGCTCATGCCATACTTGGCTTTCAGTCCGTCGAGATAGGACCTCCTTCCCATAAATGAACCACGCTTCTAGGCCGTTCTGATCAAATGTGCCATCGTGTATTCCGTAAGTTTCATTTTCTTCTACTACTTGGTTCAAGATTCGCTCAGTCACCGTACAGCGTGTATCACCGAACGGAAAGCTTTCTATCTTTCTGAATAAACTCGTGCAGCTGAGCTTTCCGCGATCTAAATCGTGCACAGGATGCCTGTGACGACGGCCCAGTTGCCCAGCTGTGACAGACCTGGTAAGTTCTGCTGTCACTTTACCCCGGTCCCGTCCATGTCAGATTACGAACAACGCAGCGCATGCGAATGCTACTTTTGCCTGTACTCATCAACACGTCACCCAGACCCTCGGCCGACCCTCGGCCATAAGTAGTTGCATCGCGGCGATGGAAGTTGAGCGCATTCCTGTCGTATAGCCTTCCGGCTGCAATTGAACCTTGCCTGTGACACCGGTGACGTGCAAAGCATCCACATGATACATCGCGACGGTCAGCTACGCGCCATTCTACTCCTCCTACTGCCCGTCACTGTCTACCGTCTGTCGCCCTTTCATCTGCCCCACAAGTACCTGGGCACCCCTCCTTGGCAGGCTCACGGAGTTCCGCGGCATGTTCATCGCCGTGGCCGGCACACAACATCTCAACGTCAAGAGAACGTATGCAAGATACGGTCCTATTGTGCACTTGGATAAACTCTCTTGTGCGCAGTTCCCTGTAGCTCCTCTGACATGGTCCGACAGGCTCGAATGTACTGTCCATAGTGGACATTGATTGCTTCCCTCCATACTCAGCGTGTCACGCGGCCCCAGTACGCCTTGTCCACCTCGTTCCCCTCGATAAGCTCGACCTGACGGTACACAGTGCGGGATGGGCACCGCATCTTGAGCAAGCGGGACCAGCGCACTGCCGGTAATTATGAACGGTAACCTCATCCTGACCTCATCAGCGCGCCCCCAACACACAGGTGCATGCGAAGGCGCTCAAGGTCTGGAACCGCGCATTCACCACCGCATCCGTGAAGAAGTACGAGCCGGTCGTGATTCATCGGGTAGCCCAGTTGGTTGACGAGCCGAGGGCGCGCTGTGCCGTGAATCCTCGAGGGCTGTGCTGTGAGCACTGACAAGGTTGCCGGGTGCTAGGGACGTCCGATCAGACGTATCTTCGGCTTTCCGGACTTCGTGTTCACGCGGCTTGAGTCGTCAATTGGCTTTCACGGAAGTTTACTGGGGACTCCAAATCTTTCCCTAAACTCCATCAAAACAACGTAAACGCAAACCGCAGAATGTGTATACGCGTCGATCGTAGAACGCACGGATGGGCCGCGAAGCACGAGCGCTGAATACAGAATGCGCACACAAACCGCAGAACGCGCACATGAACCGCAGAACACGCACATCGCACGCAAACCACAGAATACGCACACGAGCCCGGGCAGAACACACAAGCTGACTTCGAGAGAGCGCACGGTGGCACGCGGCGCTACTGGGCTTTCGATCACATGCGATAGTGTGAGGAAACGGGCTCGTCGGCGCGTTGGCGCGGGTGAGCGTAGCGTTGGCGAGGTCGGTAACACGCGGGAAGTCGAACGTCGGGCGCGGAGGTGAGTAGTCAAGCGTCCTCCATTCGAGAACGAACATAGACGGAATCGAGCGAACAATCGTGTAAAATGTAAGCGAGATGAGTAAGAGAATAAAGAAGCTGTAGCACAGGTTACCACTCGTGTGCCACTCCGAGAACAGCCATGAACGGAATAGGAAGGAGTCTAGAATGAGCTGGAGGCGAGTCAGAAAAGAGAATATAAAAGGAACACAATATGTTTATTCGTACGAAGGAGGAGGAGAGGGGTCCATTTAAGCGTCGGGCGCTCGTGCGATGTATCCAGGCGCTTAATACGCATCCCTTAAGATAGCCTCCTACACGGATCATGGCACGGTACCACGAGCTAGTTGCAGACATATACGTACCTATGTAGCACTGGTAACTTTTTGGACATCCTTTGTGACTCCGCAAAAGAGCGAGATCGCTCTGGTGGGGATCTCATACACGCAAGGACTCTACACATTTCCTGTGCGTCGCAGGTACTTTTTCGTTCATTAAATGCAGCTATAATGAACAGCAACTTGAGGAGCTGTGCGTTCCTTCGTAACGCGCACACAGTATACTATGAATGGGAGTTCATTGACGTAATGTGCTAATGCTACGGCTGGTGAGGCTATTGACGGTGAACATCATCGATTCGGTGACTGCGCCATTACTCTCAACGGACAATCAATTCACACTCGGTTCACGGACACAACACTTATGCTTCCGTGGGTAGCATGCATTATGGTCAGCAGGGGATAAGAGCGACGAGTATACTTGTGTACGAGGAGATAGAGACGAATTTGAAGTAGTTTAATTGCGCCCGCTCGTGAGACGTAAAGAGCTGTACGCTGGTCGATTCCAACCTGTGCACAGCGATGTAGTTAGACGACTAGGGACCTGCGCCGTCCACATAGGCATAAATATCAGGAAGTATTATACATTCAATCGCATGGGATACGTGGTACGTGGCCCTTTGCATTGCAGAATCAGACGTGACTGAGTCTACTTGGAATCCATTTCGATCTCCTCAAATACAAGGATTGTCGTCGCTTGTCGGCCGACTTGTGGGTTTCCGCGCGTTCGCGGACCTGCGTCATATTTGGACCAGTTGCGTCTTGAGCCATACTCCATCTCTTTGATTGTGAGGAAGAGGCGGTAACTCAGAATACCGTCCAGTGCCCATGTCACCCTACATGTTGTTATATGATCCGCCGCACCACGGTAGACGTTACATTGGTACTCACGGAGGCATGAGTGTTGTATCTGCGGCCTAAACGCACGTTAATATCCAACTGAGATAACAACGTAAGAGACTTACTGAACCGAATACACTCGACAGTAATCGCGATAGTCGTAACACTAGCGGCAATTATAACAGGGCTCGTGAATAAGAAGGACAGTGTGACTCACGGAGGAACGCCTAGGTATGGATGTCTATCAGATATGATCGCAAAGAGCGGAAAGGAACCCGCGACGCACAAGGAACGTGTAGAATCCCTGCTTGTACAGGATCCCTACTATGGCGGTCTCTTGTCTGCGTGGAGTCATCAGCGTGCTCCAAGCCACCAGTGCGAGCGCGATCAGATCGAACGCCACCTGCGGAGAAGGGTAATTGAAGATGCCTCCATCCATAACACAGGTTATAGAACACATACCATCGGTGCCCATGACCCGACGAAGTACCAAGACTTCTTAGTAAACATGCATGTCTCGATGAAAGCTTGGATTCCGTGGAGCTCCGCATACTGAACCTCAGCTGCAAGCACGACCTCCGCGTTAGCTGCGCGCAGGGAGAGCTGTGATGTTGTGCCCTACACAGTATCTGTCTCAGCAGGAATACGTCCGATATGATGGTTGCGATCATGCATATGACGAAAGCTCCTCCAAGTACATAGCTCACAAACCTACGGTTGTCCCATAGTCGATACAAGCGGAAGAGAATATAGGCTGTCGCCCACAAGTCAGCATACAGGTCAAACGTGACATGGGCTCGTAGAACGCTTACAATGTACTGATGCATTGCTGACGAAACCATAGACCACGGCAAATATCGTGAAGGAGATACAACTGTGAAGGATGTTAACGAGCTCCGTGCGAAGTGTACTGTTCTCGCCTTACCTCTGAGATTCAATACATCAATGACCATTTAAGCAGTTCATGGGTCGGTGAGACCATAAGCTCACCTGCTTGTCTAAGGGGGCAAATCCGCTCATGACTGATATAAATAACACGCTCAGATGGTCAAAGTCCAGTTTCGAGTACATCACGGTGTTACGTACCAACTGCAAAATACAGGAGACCCGCCTCCCTAAGATATACGTCGAAAAGAACGCATACCGCCAGGAAGAGGGGTGGCTGATGCCATACATATTGAATTTCCTTCGGCAGGTTGAGGAAGTGGTCGTACAGCGCGAGCGTAATCGCAGTACCTGGGTCGTCGTCACAACATCAGCTAGGCTGCGTGAGGAGACGATCACTCTCACCTGAGAGGTATCTAGTTGCCTCCAAGGACCGAAAGTCGCTCATGGACACCGACATGGCGATCTCTTGGGCACAGGTAGAGGATCCTACGGCGACTAAATCAGTTGCTTAAGTAGACGTACTCTGAGTCCGAGTCTGCGAAGCGCCGTTCCGTGAGGGAGTGAAATGTTATGCTGCATGCGGTGCGTTATTGACAACATCTGCACGCCATCATGCTGATTGAATGCAAGTGAATGTTCGCTAGTCAAGCGTCTTCTACAGCTGGTACTAAGTTGTTCGAGTAGGGGAAGGAAGACCAATGTCACGTCGACGTCAGCGCTCGCCCGGTAGGCGTCACAAGGGCGTGACAGAGGCTGATGCGGTTTGCGCTGATGCAATATTGTATGTACACGAGTGGACGAACCAAGCTGCCTCTTACACTCCGAGAAACCCTATGACTGTCCACACGAGTACACGGCAATGCGCTTTCCAAGATTCGGGGATCGTTTTGACTTTGATATTAATTCTCCAATGTTGAATGGCAATACTTGCTGACTCCGCCTCGCATGATGACAGTGCCAGTGGCACGGAGGACGTGCTCTACGTCTGAGTTTGCTCCCAAAACTATTGGTGCAGGATACCAGCTGTGACGTCCTCAACAGCGCCGAGCGATAGTAAAGTCATTCCGATAACACTTTCTTGCCGCATCATCAGGTCGAAGGCTTCGCGCGTCGTGCTCACTGCATTCTGTCGCAGTTGTGCTCAGAGGTGGCCGAAACAGCATGACAACTTACGTCCACACTGGCTCTTGACCCTTGATACATCACAAAAATTGAGCCACTATCAGCTGCGTGGCGCAAGTAAGCCAGGTACCATCGACACGTACTACTCATACTTCGAATTTCCAGTAAGGCGACTGCCATTATGCCGTATTCAAATACGTCATCCTCCGGACTGTTACTCCACAAGTGCTATGTATGGTCCTGTATCATCGGGACTAGACGGTAAAGATGGACTCCTCCATCTGATAGGGCGTGGGTATGAGACGCTGCCGCCGCTGCGCGATCACTATACACATCGCAATTTTTGTAGTGACAGCGATGACCCTTTCGCCAGTCCCGAGGCTTGAGGCCTTGAGGCGTGAGGACGGACTCCGGTACGTCAACAGTAATCTAATGGTGGTTAATCTTGGACTTTAGGTTCAAGGACTCTCCGCACTGACACAAGGTTCAGCATGCGATGTGGAGTACACAACTACAGCACCAGTGACATCGGAAGGACCATATGGCGGTGACCAGGCTGCTCAGGCCTTAGGAAACAAGACGCCTAGTAATATGCTCGCTCAAGCTCCACGAACGCAGTCAAGAGTAGATGTTGTAACTCAAGACTGGACTGCGATCATACAGTGTAAACAGATGCCCTTCACGTTGATCATATCTTCCGACATGCGCCACAAACCTTCCGCTATACCGTACGACTGTTCCCATCTCTCTAAAAACGCACGGTCATCGGGCAGGGCCTGTCGCATAAGCGCTGCTATATGGCCCAGTCGTCCATCCGTGACTGATTTATGATACATAATTTGGGGACCGAGCGCAGGATCGTATCATAGCGCGGTTGGTTGCATCGCAAACAAGCACAAGACAAGCAGAAGACCCAAACTCTGGTGAGCCTCCTAATGTCGAGCTCCGATAGGAAACGTCAGATTTGGCTGCAGTCGGCTGCCTATTCACAGGGCGTACGCATCGGAGAAGCTTTGCTCCGACTTGTTCGTGCGCTGGACCTATCGCTACATATGATTGAGTCTATACTTGTCCTCCTCAGGATACGGTAGTAGGGACACATACTAGTATGCACCAAGCATCCAGCGGTCTAAAGCCGGTGCGCCGATAGGGTGCTCCGCCCCACACGTCCGGAGCACTTTGAACTTGTACAAATATGGTTAGATGTGACTGAACAGTCTCAATTTGCTTGCCTGATTGTTGAAATTGTATGCCACTGGGGCTCCTCGGCGAAGCTCTATCGGTCCAAGTTCTGTCATTCGCCGTGATGGACTCATCGTCGGAATGAACTGATAGCAGCGAGGCGTACGTAACCTAACTTATCGAACCCCCGAAGTGTTTGACTTGGCCGTTGACAATGCTTCTGATAGATCGAACGCGGGGACATGTGGGCGATTTCTAGTCTGCCCTGACGACGAACGCAGAAAATTGCCAAGGGACTTCAATACCAAGATCAAGGCGCTGTTACAGTGATCACATTACGCTCCATGAGACAGTACTATACGAAGAGAATAAGCCGTGGCAGACTGGAGGAGGAGGAGGGGTACAGACAGGGTGCGATCTCGAAGTATGCGGGCGATTCAGACATACGCTGACTGACTGGGCCGTATTGCGTAATACCAACAAGGTTCGCGGGTAGGTGGATTACGTAAGAGTAACGCGGTCGACGGACGTGACATGTGAACTGAATCTGAAGATCTGAAGGTCCGAGCGGCAATGTTTGAACGTTCAAATTCGCATATGTGACCTCCTCCTCGCTTCTGCCTTCCATCTGTGCTTCGTAGCGCCGCAATGCAGAGATAACGTTCAGCCATAACGCCGCCGCGAGAGACGACTCGCACGCAACCACAACCGCCTCGTGCGATTTCGCGGCGAAGCACGCGGCGGGAATGCGCGTGTACACTGCCAGTGGGTACGGAACAGGTGTGTCCTAATATTGCCTCCTCCGTACAGCATGTTGACGTCTTCCTGTCGGCAATATTTCAAGTACCAGATGTACAGCCCAAATCTTTTCGGAATGTGGGCACGTTCCTCGTTTCACTGAAGATATTACTAAGGTCAAGGACTGGGGCGCTTCAGTAGTGCTTACAAGGTTCAACTTGCATCTGCCGCACTGTCCTTCCGGTTGATGATGCACAGCATCGGTGCGCAAATTCGAAACGTCTCACCCGATTGTTCTCTGTCACGGTATGCTACTTACTGCATTGCTCACATGTGATGCTCCGCAGTATAGCCTCTGTCCCGGACCGCCCGATGTTTGCTTTGGCACCATAGACGAACTCAGCCCTGGGAAAGGGTTTCCACCTCCGCTCGAGCCTAAACCTGTACTGTATCCCGTATATATCCCGACATGCCTGCTCCGGGCGGGCTCTAACTGCGACCATTGTGCGCGCCTGCGCAGTCCATGAACATGTCCGCAACCTCCGGCAGGCCTTCATCCGAGGTCGAACAAGCACTGAAAGGCGAATACGCACCACCGGAGGCAATGGACATCGAGGATGTCCCACAATCCGTGATCAATGTGCCCGACGGCGGCGTTCAAGCATGGCTCTCTGTACTTGGAGGGTATGGCTCTCTCTGGTAGCGTGTTACATGACTTATGCATCTGACCGTTCATCTAAAGGTTTATAGTCTGCACGACTACATTCGGCTATTCCAACTCGTTCGGGGTATACCAGGACTACTACGTCCTAGCAGGCGCGTCGTCCCCGTCAAATATCAGCTGGATTGGGTCAATACAAGTGCGCACGCAATTCCATTGGTTTCCCAGTCACTCATTGTTCCCATACCAGCTGTTCTTTATGTTCTTCATGGGTCTACCAGCGGGTAAGCTCTTTGACCAGGGCTATTTCCATCAAGTCGTTGGTTTCGGCAGCCTTCTTTACGTCTTCTGGTTCGTCGCCTGTCTCACTCCTGTTCCCAGTGGCGGCATCTAAGCCACCTACAGCATGTTTATGCTTTCGATCGCGGACCCGCACAAATACTACCAACTTGTGCTCTCGCAGGGTGTCGGTATGGGCATCGGGAGTGGCCTAATGCTTGTCCCCGCCATTTCTGTTCAAACACATCACTGGCGCTTACGTCGCTCGCTAGCGATGGGCATTGTCATGACCGGTGAGTAGTTCACCCGCACTGCTCTATCACATTATTCCTCATAACAATACGACTGACGCAACTTTTCTGTTGACAGGCTCCGGTGTCGGCGGAGTGATTTACCCCATTATGCTCAACAGGCTCGTGACAGGCAGTGCAGGCTTCGCCTGGGGCGTGCGTGCGACCGCATTCCTCACCCTCGGCCTGCTCGCTATCGCCAATGCTATCATGACGACTCGCCTGCCAAACGCTAGGCAACGAGGACCGGGTACCAAACCCGACATGAAGGCAATCATGACGGATGGTCCCTACTGGCTGTATGTGTTGGGGTGCGTAGCCGAGACCTCTGGAGTACTGAAGGGAGTTCTGAGACCTGCCGGTCATGTAGGCTGTTTCTGGTTCTCTGGGGAATGTTCTTCCCTTGTGAGTAGGCGCGGCAGGTGCAACGTACTCAACCAACCTAACGTTGGTGACGCAGACTTCTATCTCCAACTCTGGGTCAACCTGCACGGCCTCCCCGGTAATCTTGCGTTTTACACAGTAAGTTCAATGCCACTTGTACGCTGCTTGTCATAAACACATAGAACAGATCGCCATCCTCAATGCTGCTTCAATCTTCGGACGCACCCTCCCGAACATGCTCGCGGATCGCATCGGGCCGTTTAACGTTCTCGGCCCCGTCGCACTGATCACCAGCGCGCTCGTGCTCGCGATGTTCGGGGTGAAGTCCACCGGGGCTGTCGTTATTTTCTCGATATTGTACGGGTTCTTCTCGGGAGCCAGTGCGTCCTACATCTCCCGCCCTTCCAATGCCCGTCTCATATGCGTCCACAGTGATCTCATTGATGCCGCCGGCAGCGGCGACGCTCGCAAACGGACTCCATGAGATTGGGTGTGTTCCTTTCCATTGTGCTCGAGGTTGCGGGATTAACATCGGGACAGAATTCGCCTCGGGATAGGGTACTTCGTGAGCTCGTTTGCCATGCTCACTGGGACACCCATCGCCGGCGCGCTCTTTGACGACGGCGACCAGTGGTACAAACCGATCGTGTTCTGTACTGTGAGTCGTTTGTATTCGTTGAAGCCTACAGAATGTTCGCTGACTACAGTCCTGTAGATAATCATGTTTGCTGGAGCGGCATGCATTGCGACAGCCCGGAGCTTGGTGGCTCGTCGGAAAAGGACGCAGCGGGTCTAGATGGCCTCGCCCCAAGCACACAAATAGTAGTGTAATGTAGATCCATCGTATTTAAGTCTGCAATTTCGTGCAGCATACATACAAGTGCGCCCTTCGGACGCCGTATACTAAGCCAGCGACGTCATTCAATGGGTTTACGAGCATCGCAAACCCGTGGCTTCGCCACGGGTTTACGGGGCGATTTTTTCATTCTATGCTTCATGTAACTTTTAAGATTTCATACTTATGCAATGCCAGACCTGGGCTTCGCCTCAGGTCTGGCGGCAGTTCTTTCATTCAGTGCTTTGTGTCACTATGAAGGTTATATTCTTGGGCATTGCCGACCCGTGGCGAAGCCACGGGTCTTGCAGGCAATTTTAAAATTCAATGCTTCATGTAACTATATTGTAATAAATGCTTTGGCATGCCAGCCTGCGGCTTCGCCACAGGCTGGCAGCATACCCGTTAGTCAATGCTTTGTGTACCTACTGGAATAGATGCTCTGGCATGCCAGCCTGTGGCGGAGCCACAGGCTGGCGGCGTACCCGGTACTCAATGCTACATGTTACTCCTTTGAACTGCAGTGCGGAGGGCGCCCGAGGGCATATCCTGGTGTGTATATTGGTTCCCGTTATGTACTTACCTCCTCGCACCCGCCACGATGCCTCGGGAACACCTCAAGAAATTTCCCAATGGGTTTCTCAAGTTTCCCGGGGACACCTCGGGCGAGGATACACTGGTGAGCGGAGGGCGCCCGAGAGCAGCTTTCCTGTCAACATTACCTCCCGTCATCATGCCCGTTGCCCATCACACACGCCGCGACGCCTCGGGAAACCCGCTGAAATGTCCTGACTTGCCGAAGGGGTTTCCCGTTCAAGGTCCCGCCGCTCCTTTCGCGCGCGTCGGGGACGCGTCGGGCAGGGACCGCGCAAGCGCCGGGGAAGCGGAAGGCGCCGGGCCCGTTAGAGTGGTAAGGATTGGGCGCACATGGTTTGCCACGCGGCCAACGTGCGCTCCATGTGGCTTTCTCGTGGCTTTTTCGCGCCACATTGACCCCGACCTCCCATTCTTTTATGATGTTTCTGTGACAGTGCTACGGACGACAGCAAGATCTAAACAATACGTTCCGTAATCTTAGAATCATTATCGACTCGGACATGTAGTTAGTATGTCACGCGCGGAGGCTCAAAGTCATAGGACAGCAAGTCTCGGGGCATGTCGCTGCATGGAGGTTAGGCTATCTCCCATTACACGTCCAGGCGCGCACCGGAAGCGTATGATGCACGCTGTGCGTGGATAAGTCCACCGGCGTCGGAACTAGGGGATCCATCCTCTATAGGTCCATGCAGATAATTTGCCAATCCTACGATACATCTGAGTCTGCACAGAAGCGGTACACTATCTTCTCTCCGCTGACCTTACCATCCCGCATGTATTGCAGACCCTCCGGTATTGCTTGCATACCACCCTCCCAGAACTTGATACGGTTTGGGACGACTAATCCATCCCGCACGAGATCTGCCATCTTTTTCAAGAAACTAGCGATTTGCGCCCTGTCTTTTGGCTGTGCTGCATATTGCGCCTGTGGACCGAGCACAAACGGGCGACCCAGTGCGGTGTAGACGAGTGTCGCTGTGACATGTCAGCCGAGACTCCACAATCGTACGCAGTGTCTGATGACGTACGGATGAACTCGACATCCTTCCGAAGCTTCTTCGCTTTGAAGGTAGGCGGGAACATGAGGATCAGTTTCCCGCCGCTGGCTCCCATTGCGCGTGCACAGAGCTGCTGCGTGTCCTTCGTACTCTGGGTATCAATCGCGTAACGTACGCTGTCTCCAGTCGCCCGCTTGATGGTCGCCACAACGTCAGGGTCGTTGTAGTCGTAGACAGCATCTGCACCTAGAGATTTGACGAGTTCGAAGTTGTGCGGAGATGCCGTGGTAACCACCTTGTATCCGGAGAGGTGTGCGAGCTGTATGGCGTATTGGCCAACAGAAGCTGACGAAAGAAGAACAGTAAGATTTTAGGGCCACGTATGCGCGCAACAGCTTTACACACAGCTCCCTCCATAGATCAGCACCCATTCCGAACCATCCGCTCTGTCGGGTGGCTCTACAAGCCCTAAACGTTGCGGATGGTATAGACACTGGGCTGCGGTGCAGACTCTGGGACACGTATTCGTGCATTAGTTAGAAGAGCACAGTCTGCATATGACGTACCCGCCATTCATGGTTGCAGCCTGTTCGTGGCTGAGAACTCCCTGTGGCACGGTCCACACGAGCTCTGCAGGTGCTTTCACGTATTCTGCGAAGGCACCGCTGTCAACGAACGTCCCGCCCATCGCAAAGCCTGCGACGTGTTCGCCGAGACCGGGTTTCTCCACGTTCTTGCCCCTCTGTACGACCTGTCCAGACCAATCGCAGCCGACAATAGTGCCAACGTTCTGACTGCTGTCGATGACTGCCAGCGGACGGTTCGCTCAATACCGGTATGAGAGACTAGGGCTGAACTCGCACATTTCCAATCTGAAGGGTTCTGTGCAACAGCAACCACCCTTACGAGGACATCGTTATCATCTATCAAGGGGATGGGATGGTCTTGTATCGCAAATGTTCTACCCTGTCGGAGGTCGCGTTAGTGCTGTGTTCGTCACACGGGCAACGTGTGTGACGACGTGGCTCACCTCACGAATAACGACGGCTTGCATGTATTGGCGAGACGCGAGCTCCATCATTAGGACTAGTAACAAGATCACCCAGACTATCTAGTAGGTGGCCGTCTTATACTCAATGCACGGCGCCAGCAGGTAATGCCACAGAACAACAGATAAGGTTCGAGGTCCGGCCGGGGAATGTAGTCCTTGTGTAGGGACCGCTTCGACTTCGACGTGGTATAGAATACTATGCCTTAATAGGCACAGCTCTACGTCAAGATGGACCTGTAGACACGTATATGCCTATTTGTGAGTCTACGGAGTCGCCTACAAGAATCCCGGACATTCAAGTTTCATGGGTACGCAGAAGGCAACTGTAGAGACGGTCGCCGAATGCTCGCGCTCCATTTCCTGTCACATCAGTGATGGGAAGGTCGGATGATCGTGCGCGACTCATCTCGCACAATCAAGGACAGTCGCGAGCACTGCAATGCGAGCCAGAGGTCACATCGACGACCGAGATCCGTACAGTTATGGTGCCACATTACACCCGCGACTCCGGCGTCCTGCGCTCCGAGGCTAATGGACTTGCTGTGCGTCTTTGTACGGTCTCCATCATGGTACGCCGTACATCTGTCCGAATTGCTACAACGCTATCCTTGCCCTGATCTAGATCCAGGATCAACACCGTCGTCCACGTGCACAATATGTCAATAATAGTGAGATACTGTACAGTGTTTTCACTCCGCCGCCTTCTCTTGATCGGGCGACTGCTACTTAGAGGCTAAGCAGAACCTAACTTAGTACTCGCAGACCCCATGCTAGCGCTTTCTATTGGATGAAGGCGTAGCAAACTCTATGGAAGAGATAAGTTATCGGAACGCTGAGGCTGTCACGGTGTATCTGAGCGATGGCCTGAGTGTACTTACCATTCGCTCCCCGTCTTCCGGCGGTCTGTCGGAGCTTGACAGACCGGTGATACGTGGCGTGATTCTGGGACATCGTGGGTCAGTGCGCTCTATCGGTATTAGTGGCGAAGAGAATTATACCGGACGAAGAGCTCGACCACAGCCTGACGCATCATTCGGCAATCGCAGGGTATGATCCAACCCACAGGAGCGATGTGACAGGAGGAGGAGGAGGAATCCATTTTAGCCACCGACCGCAGGTGCACGTGCGCCCCACGGTATCTTGACAGAATATTTACTACATGCGTGACTGTGTGACTGTGACGATGATGCGCTCTAGTACCTGCCGCTGTAACTGCGCTGTAATGTTCCTCGATGACCGGTCTTCCTGCGTTGCTTCGTTGCTGATCATCCCTACCGAAACACGCGGTCTTTCCTCACAGCCGTGAGAGGTGGTATTTTGATGACTCAGCAAAAGCCAGAGCGTCACTCATCCCGGTACGAACGCCCCTGGCTCATCACGGCCGCCGTAAGCACATCACTGAATGCCAGGCCATACTGACGGACTTTCCATTTGGTATGTTAAGCACAGCTTCGAAGCGGCATACCAATGTGGTTCCAGCCGTCGAACCTAGCCGCGTGGGCCACGGATGTACTAGTCTGTGCAACAGATCTCCAAAGCGGGACCCCGGCCCCTCCCTACGTCGATGGGCGAGCTCTAAGTATATGAGTATCATGAGGGCGTTTGTCCACATCGATCACCTTAGCCCCGCCCTCCAGCCTGTGCTCTTGAGCCCTGAGTGATAGACCCTACGAGAGAACGGTGTCCTACTGCGTGATGCTTTCGAATAGTCCTGTGGCCATCGCCCTCGTGAGTGTTTCTATGATCATCGTGAAATCTATTGCACTGACAGAATCTCACTTTGCACAGGTCGGTATTGCTGCGGAGCTACCGAGCGGGGATTGGAGCAAATCGAACCTTGATTACAGTTCGTTTTATGACTTTCTCTTGCAAGGCGGACAGGCGTACGAGAGCATACCTCTAGACCGTTTCAATGTACACAAGTGAGCTTCCCAACATAACTATCCGTGAGGCTACTGAGAACATTTCCAGGCTCAAGGGAACTGCGTCTGGTCAGTTGGCGGCCGACACGGGCGCGTTTCTCAAAGACATAGGCCTGTTCGATCCGGTCGAGTTCGGTGTCACGAACAAGGATATCAGAATGATGAGCGTAGGCACAAGGAAGCTGATAGAAGCGACATTCCTTGCCCTGCTCGACTCCGGCATTGACTACCGGGGGCGTGATATCGGTTGCTACATGTCGGCTGTGGCCCACGACATGACTTCAGTGTCGGGACATGTAAGCCAATGCCTGTCGGAGTACATTTCATGTCCTAAGTTTGACACCATCAGGATGATGCCGAGGTTCGCGGGTCATTCTCAAGTGGTCCGGCGATGGTCGCGAACCGCGTCTCTTATCATCTCGATCTTCGTGGTCCGACCATACCGCTTGATACGGCATGCAGCTCAACGCTTCACGCCACTCATCTAGCTGTCCAAGCGCTACGGGCTGGGGAGTGCGAAGCGGCTGTTGTTGGGGGCTGCCAGGTCAATCATAGGTCAGTCTGCTCACAGGGATTATGTTACATCCCTAGCATGACGGTTGATGTCTGGGACTCAGGTTCGCGGAGTGGTTAACATACACCCAAGGAGGTGTCCTGTCCCCCGATGGTAAATGCAAGCCATTTGATGCGACTGCGAACGGGTAATATTCATTATTAAATTCCATGACGCGTGCTCAACACATTCTAGATTCGGACGAGGCGAAGCCACAGTCTCCATTGTTCTCAAGCCACTCGACGCGGCGCTCCGTGATCGAGATCGAATTTATGCTACAGTATGCCATGTGTTGTTTCAGTCTTACGTTGCCACTGATGCGGTAAGTGTAGATCCTTGGAACCAGCATCAACTCCTCAGGCTCGCTTGCCCCAGTGAACGCACCAGTCGCATCAGCGCAACAGAGAGCTATGCTGCGTGCCTTCGCTGAGGCACGGCGATCTCCCCGGGACGTTGATTTCATCGAGCTGCATGCGACTGGTACGTCAGGTATTCGTCCGATGTACTCGCCTTACCTTGTCCGTCAGGCACGGCGTCCGGAGACCCAACGGAGGCCAACTGGGTCGGCGTACAATTCAAGAGAGACTCGGAGCTGCTCGTCGGGAGCGTGAAGGGCAACATTGGGTATGTCTCATTTGTCAAACTCATGTCTTATGTGTTCACGTTCTGCGCAGGCATACCGAAATCACAGCGTTCCTCGCGTCTCTATGTAAGGTCTGCCATATCATAGAATACGGCGTCATCCCCCCTACTGTCAACCTCACCGTCCCAAATCCGGCCATTCGATGGGCAGACCACAACATGCGTGTGCCTGTCACCCCGGAAAAGCTCAGTATCCGGTCCTCCTCTGGACGTGCCCTCATTGCAATGTCGAGCTCCGGAATCGGTGGTGCGAATGGCCACTGCGTCATCGAAGCTCATGCTCCCAATACGGACGCCGTAGCGCGACTTTGGTCCTGCGATAGGTCAATAATCCCGTTGCTCCTGATCGCAGGCGGCCTGTCACCGCGCTCTGCCTCTGCTGTCGGCGAATCGCTCAAGACTATCCTAGCTGACCGAGATCGTGCCTGTATTGGCCGTATCCTCGGCCGACGATCACGATCAATGCTGTGGAAAGCCTACTCTGTCTCTCCCGATGGGCAGATCCCCCTCTTCGCGGAACCCGTGCTTACGCCGAAGGCTGCGCCGGAGGTCGTGTTCGTTTTCTCCGGACAGGGCCCACAACACTGGAACAGTTAGTGCTCCCTCACATCTCACATCACTTTCGCGCTTGCTGACCTGTACTTACAGTGGGCCGCGAGTTGTTCAGGACTTGCGTGCCGTTCCATGACACCGTCGTAGAGCTTGACGCAATATTTACTGAGGTGACCGGCAGGTCTCTGACTACAGACATCGGCCTCTTCGACGACTCCGGCGTACCCGACAGTCTGGGTGACATCTGGCCGATCTCCATCACACTTCCCGCGCTGACCATTCTGCAAATTGCGCTCGTCGACACTCTGGCTGCCGTCGGCGTGAAGCCGGATGTAGTGGTCGGTCACTCTGCAGGCGAGACCGCAGTGCTGTACGCGTCGGGCGCAGCCACAAAGGCGATGGCGGTCGAACTTTCGATTGCGAGAGGTCAAGCGATGGAGGTACTGGAGGCACACGACGGAGCCATGGCGGCCGTGGCCTGCTCTGCTGCGCGGGCGAAAGAGCTCATTGCTGAGGTGATTGCGGAGCTCGGGCCTGCTGCCCTGGAAGTTGGTTGTTACAACGCGCCGAACGCCGTCACATTGTCCGGCTCAACGAAGCATATTGTATATGCTGTGGGCCTAGCTAAGGCATCTGGGATCCTCGCGACGCAACTGCGGACGCGTACACCTGTCCATTCGTCAATGGTGACGCTTTGTCAGAGGGAGTATGAACAACGGGTAGGAGAGGTGTTCAATAAATACGCTGTGGGGCTCACGAAGGTCGAAACATTTTCGACGCTCACCGGTGACGCGCTCAGCACGCCATACGACGCTCGCTATTTCTGGGATAATACGCTCGGACCAGTCATGTTCGATTCTGCTATGATAGCTATCCGTTCTCGGCACCCGCAGGCAATATTCGTCGAAATTGGACCCCATCCGGTACTCTCAGGATATATCACCGCGAATCTCGGACAGCCAGCAACAGTACTCACTCCGCTGAAACGAGCCAGGTCCTCAGTGGCCGGCGAACTCGTACCACTCATGGACTTCATTGGGCGGTTGGTCTGCGCGGGCTACTCAACAGTGGATATGGATGTGCTTTATGGTACTGCGATTAGCCAAGGAACGGTCATTCCGCCATATCCATTGGCCCGGAAGGAGGTCCCATACGTAGCTCCGACATTCGAGATCGCTCGACAAAGACAGGCGCGTCGAGGTCCACTGAACTACCCTCAATTGCGGATCAACGTTCATACCCATCCTGGTCTAGCAGACCACGTCATCATGAACGAACCGATCATGCCTGCGGCTGGTTTCCTGGAGATGGTTTGTCCTGTCATATCGTTATTACTATGACGACTCAACATGATACACAACCCTGCAGGCACTCGAGTTCGGGGCGAAAAGGCTGTGGGATGTGCAATTCCATTCAATATTGTCCCTCGCGTCAGAACGACCCACGCCCATTGACGTGGCGCTAGACGGTCCCAAGTGGAGTGTCCGCAGTGCAGCCGTTGCGGAATTCACAAGTACATGGCCCCCAACAGTAAGTACACGTGTCTATACTGCACAGCGGAGACTTGACATGCTAGGTAGTATCATCGCGTGCATACGACGGGATATCTCTCCATGGATAACGAGGTGTATACAGATACGCCTGTGCTGCCCCTCGACGATATACGTGCTCGGCTAAAGAAAATGGAGATGAAAGGTTTCTACAGCGGCCTCGATTTGTTTACAAACTATGGGCCTACCTACAGGAGAGTGCTGTCTTGCTATCATGGACTCACCTCATCAGGGCGAGAGGAATTTCTGGTAGAAATCCGCGGCGCAGGGAACGATCTGGATAAGTAGGTGATGTCTACCAAGTGTGCTCAGAGAAACCTGACAGCTTTCATGTAGCGTCTCAGACTACCGACTACACCCGGCCATACTTGATGCTGCTCTCCATATTGCTGTACACCCGACAATCACCGGTGCGCTCAGCCAGGGACGCTATTACCTGCCGTCGAAATTGGGCACAATGATCATCCACGATGCCCTTGCACAAGGTATCCCTGAGAAACTCTACGCGCACGGTGTATTCGTCAAATGGACCCCAGGTTCATATTTTACATGCCTATGTCGTTCGCTGTGAACTGATGACACTCCATAGAGGCACTCACATATAACTTCACACTCACGAACGAGGCCGGCTTGCCGCTATGCACAATCGAGGGACTGGAGGTGGCCGCTCATGGGAAAACGCCACTGCTAGTGCAGAACCGATATGAGATTGTGTACCAACGACTTGATATCGGCCTCTCAGGAGCTTTTGAGACAAGCGGTGACGGAACTGCCTTCGAAACAGACGCGAGTATCGATGCGGTATGTAGAAGGCATACGGTATCATCACGTCACACACTAACGGAAGTATATCACAGTCATCTCAAACTGGATCGTCACCGTTGCGGGTCCTCCATTACCACCGAGGCGAGGAGCTGAATCATCAACAAACAATTCGCTATCTCGATCCTTCGGACAAGCTCTCGGTCTGTTTCGTTGCATCAGCAGGCAGGGACGGTGATGCTGTCCTCGGTTTCACGAGGTCTCTCCGCAAAGAGCACCCGTCATGGCGAGTGTATTGCATAGTCTTTACCTCGTCATGGCCAATCGCTCAGCAAGAGGCGGCAGCGCGGTATCTTTGTACCATTCCACTGGCGGAGGAAGAAATGTTGATAGAAGCCAACGGGGCGGTAACCGTAGCAAGGGTTGTCCCGTCCATTGCTCCTAGGCGGACCACGACTTTCGATCCTGAGGCCCCGTGGGTATATCAAGGCTCTACCTTCTCGCAAGTGTCCAAACCGACGGTACCACCCAATCATGTTCTCGTCCGCATCATGGGCGTATCTTCGAACATGTCTTCGTGCTGGGCATTCGTTGGATACGTGGATGGTTCACCCAGCATTTACCTTGGCGTCACACTCAGCCCGCTGACCAACTACGTCGTCGCGCATCGTGGCAGCTTGCTGCAGCTGACAGGTATTCAGAGTCTCGGCCATGGCCCTCGTGTGCTTGCTGCTATCATTGCCGTCCTGGCCGTTGGACCTGCCAATTATAACGACCCCCAGCGATTGAAGGACACGTGTATCTTAGTGACACACTCGGATACTACGATCGGACGCAGTCTATGCCAACTTTACGAGGGCCGTGGCTTCCACATAGCACGCCTTTCATCGCAGGCTAGCGTGTCAAAGATCAGGGCTGCGCTCTCACAGCGACCGAAATTCATCGTTTCCGGGAGGGAGAAGACGATGGACATCGACATCGACGAGACCGTAACCCGACTGCAAACAGGAAGGGTATTTCAGTGGGACGACCCGGGCACGGGGATGGCTCATGTGCTTACAAATGACCCATGGACAATCGGCGATGCACTGAAGCTCGCGCTGCTGGACATCGTACACGCAGACTCAAACGAAGCGCTCATTCCTCCGATTCGAGCGCTCAATGTAGTACCCCCGGCGGAAGTCCCGCTGCAGACTACCATCTTCCACCCAGAGAAGGCGTATATGCTGATAGGAGGCATCGGAGGTTTTGGCCCGCACCTCGCCAGGTGGATGTATGAGGTGCGGATCTACTTATGATTTCTACCGGGAGACATTGTTGACGTATTACAGAACGGAGCGCGTGAACTCATCCTGACTTCCCGCTCAGGAACAGCTACTCTTGTGCCCAAAAACGACTACACGGCTTTGCGGCTCTTGGCGTATCTCCGCTCAAGAAAGGATCTGGTACTGCGAACAGAAGCCGTCGACGCGTCATCAGTCGAGCAGACCAAGGACTTGGTGGCTTCAATCAAGAAGCCGCTTGGCGGATGCATGATCCTCACTGCCGTCCTGATCGACCGTACTTTCCTGACGCAGACTCCGGATACATTCGAAGCACCCTTCAACGCAAAAGTGGGCGCATTTGATGCTCTCGAGAGGGCCATCGACATAGACACGTTGGATTTCATGATTGCCTATTCGTCTGTCGCAGGGATGTTGGGGAATGCTGGACAGACGAATTACTCCAGGTATGAAGCTGCGTTGATCGCCCATCATCGTGCTCATATCATTTCAGCGCGAACACCGCATTGACAGGGCTGACGAGACGCTACAAGAAAGCCGCGACCATGATCCCACCAATGATACTTACTGGCACATTCCTCACCGTGTCTGCTACGGACAGTGTGCAATGGTCGCGCTTTAGGCACTTGCATGCTTGGGCTATGACAGGCGAAGGTGAGTCGGCAGTGAATAGACTGATATACACTCATATCGACATGAAAACCGGACCACAGAGGTCTGCGAAAGGATCGGCGACATGCTGCTGAAGCTTCGTGAAGGCCCCCTGTGGCAGTATATTCCCGACTTCGACTGGAATATCGTTCGCAAGTATAATGGGCCCTCCCCACTCTTCGATCACCTCGCAGTCCAAGCCTCGTCCTCAGAGACACAAAGTGCGTTAGAAAGCAAGTCGGACCGCGACCTGTGTGACATTATCTGCGACTTACTCGACATCGACCACGAAGACCTGTCCCCAGATGTGCCGCTCACGACTTACGGTCTGGACTCGCTGTCAGCCACAGCATTATCACATGCCCTGGAACCGTACCTCCCAATCTCGCAGCTTCAGCTTCTGGCCGACGTCACGCTGGCTGACCTAGAGGCGCGTTGTGAGGCGTCAAACGACAGGAGTGACCATTACATATGTCGCCACCGAACTGGACGTACCTACACAGACATAGATAGAAGATAAGCCTACGGTCGGGCTGAATAGCGGCGCAGGGTAGGCTAAATCCTGCCTCGACACCAAGGACGACGTCTAGGCAGAAACCCGTAGCGATAGCGAAGCTGTGTTTGTGAAGGTCGATACAGGGCATGATGAACTGGGTGTATGCATCGACTTATGTGCTTGAATGGCATTGCTTATGTGCATCAGCAAAACCCGGGAAATCCGGTATGCCCTGGGATCGTTGGCCAGGATTCTAGCCATGCCTTACGACTGCGCTCTTCGCGCTGGTAGTGGACATAGCGAAATGAATGAAGTGGCATGACATCGCATGCCACGGCCCAGACGCGATACGAATCATTATGGCATTTAGGGTCACGGCATTGAGATATGGCCAGTAGACTCATTCATCAAGTCGTCGTAGGTCAGTTCACGACCACCTCGCTTGACGGATGCAGGAAGCTCTGTGTAAGGGTAGCGCCGTAGGCGCCGGGCTACATCGCACGAGCGCCCGACGCTCGTCCGAATATACATATTGTTTTCCTTTTATATTCTCTTTTCTGACTCACCTCCGGCTCGTTCTAGACTCCTTCCTAATCCGTTCATGGCTGTTCTCGGAGTGGCACCCGAGTGGTAACCTGTGCCATAGCTTGCCACTCATTCCTTTGTTCTCTGACTCTTCTCACTTATGTCATACCTTTGGTTCGCTCGATTAGGTCTACGATCGAACATGTATAAATACTCTACGTACGGAGGGCTTAAGGCCCAAGCTTCAATACGAGGACGCTTGCCTACTCACCTTCGCGTCCGACCATCGACTTCCCGTGTGTTTCCGACCTCGCCGACGCTACGCTCACCCGCGCCAACGCGCCGACAAGCCGGATTCCTCACATTTTTTGAGTAGTCCTTTTTCTCTCGTATTCTTCGTTAACCTACGCGCGACGGCTTGATCACCCGTTCGCCGAATTTTTCATGTTGTTTAAAGGTACCCGTGATACAAGCATGCAGAACGTTACCGGTAATGAAGACGCCTATCCGGAGGGAAGGACCCTCGCAGATAAGGCACGTGACGCTGGAGGCGACCTCGACGAACTGAGGGACGTGCTCCTAGCGTTAGGAATGGCGGGTGAGTTCGAACGTATCCGACTCACCATGGACCGCGTGCAGTGCGGTCCGCCTTGTAGGAACTGCACAGCCGTCAGACGCTCAGTCGTGGGTAACACTCGACTGAATTAGGATTACCTGCACAGCCGTCAGACGCTATGCAGGACGTGAGTAACTATCGTAAGTATGGAACACGGAACTCTCACCTCAGTCGTGGGTAACACTCGACTGAGGAGAGAAGAGAGGGGAAGGGGACGAGAGGACGAACCACCCCCGGCGGTCTGTCACGTGCGGTGTGGCCGAGATCGAGATCACGTGCCGCAACCTCAACACTCCTCCTCGGCGCGGAGTCGACGAGATCTCGGCGAGGAAGAGAACGTATCGTACGTATAGTAGGTGTCGCGTGTGAGTAGTGCATTGCAGGGGTAGGGTCAACCCGCAGGGGTCACGGGTAGGGGTACATGAGGGTAGGGGTACGGGTAGCCATTTCCGTACCCCCGTACCCGGCCATTACCCTTTATGGAAAGTCGCAATGTCAGCCTTCGGGGACTCACCGCTCACTCAGATCTTGATCTGCAGCTCTTACTGTTTACGGCAAACCAAGCCAGGCCCCGCTAGAATAAAATACACATTTGTACAAATTACATGCTTGCATAAGCATCAAGCTGAGTCACATTGCTACCCCAAAAGCCTCGCACCCCTCAAGGGCTCCGCAATCCTAACCCCCACCATGTCTGCCAGTGGGAACCGCGTCAGCAAAAGACCAAAGATTCCAACCGAGAAACAAAGGGCAGCAGAGTCTCCCCCGAGACCTGCTAAGCCGCCGAAGAAATCACGTACCGACAGCGCCGACAACGCTCAGCCTAGCTTGAAGGTGCCGACAGCGAGCACGAAAGCACCGATGGCGAGCGCAAAGGGTTTGGCAGCGAGCGCTGTGTAGGTTGCGAGTCTCCCGGGGCCGTATGAGGTGGCAGGGAGTGTTACGTCAACGTTTGTTTTTCCTTATTTGTGCTCGAGCATTGTACTATCCCAGCATGGGCCCAACCCCATGACGCTACGCTTCCAGTCTTCGGACTCCTTCGCTGTTCGCTCCGGTCCAACCCGGAGCAGTTCACGTGATCTCTGACTCGGTATGACTCGTCGTGACTCATCTCTTACTCATACCTGACTCATCGTTTATGACTCGGTCCCTGACTCGTCATGACTCACTCCCCCGCGCTCCTATTGGCTAGGTAGTTGTGACTCGTCCTGGGCCTGCCCTGAACTCCCTATGTATATAAGACTAGTGTACAATGGCGGTCGAACCTCAGTTCGACCTGGTTATCTATTGAAGCTTCACCAGCTCCTTGGATATCAGAAACTCCCCGCTCGACCTGCTAGACGGACTTAGCAGCGTCTTCGACCATCCTCCCCATCCAAGGACGATCAGAACCTAAGGTCCCTACGTTTAGGGTTAGGTTGAGAGCTAGTGCTCTAGGTGTCACGCTTCGCGTAACAGGGAGCAGGGGTCGATAGTCGGTAGAAACGACGGGTTTCGTTGTCGGACGATGTCGACGTAACTATTAGCAGTCACGGAAGGAAGGGGGAAGAGAAGTGGTTAGGCTACGCTGCCCGATGTTCGTTCCGCTGAACGATGGAACCGCTGTTCCCGCAAAGACATGCAAATACACAGAGTTCGCTGTACGCACGCTCGCCGCTGTCGCCGCAGATCCGCAAGAGAGAGAGAGAGATTTATACGCCGCTAAGAAAACAGAGCTGTCCTGGTTCGCAGGAGTTACCTCTAACCGTCCGCTCTCGAAGTGGTGGTGGTAAGTAAGTCCTCCTCCCCTCGCGCCAGCACGCCATGTCCTTCCCCTCCCAACTTCCCACGCCCTCAAACCTTCCCGTGTTGAACAAGGAGTGAAAAGGGAGTGGCTAGTGTGAAGGCAACACTTAACAGACTACAAGACCAGTTAAGGACAGCAGTCAATGGAGGGCTTGCAAGGTCTCAAGAGACTGAGAGGGAAGACTCAGCAGGCGTAAGACAAGAGGAGAGACCGATACATTTACAGGGGCATCCAGCCCAGTATATATACACATGAGAGAGTCATCACATGATCGTACAGTAAGCGTAAGTAAGCGTTATGTGTAAGCCTGTAGCAGGATGAGTAAGGCGTACACACGTCGTGTCATGATGATGCAATATAGTGCAATGAGCGAATACATCAGGATGATGCGATATGGCACTATAGATAGAATGTGCTGGAAGGCACTGGAAAGGACTGGACAGGCCTAGATCAATGATGTGATCAATGATGCGAAGTGATGTGATCAAGGAATGTGATGGAACATCAAGGAATGATCTGGAATATGATGGAACCATGTGGAATGTTCCATACAGGTCTAGAACAAGTCATGTGCTACAGGTCTGGATCAAGTCCATCAAGAATGTACGTAATATGTAGCAATGAAGAACATAAGTCCATAACGGGTAAGAATAAGTCCTATCCCGTGTGATAACACCTGAAATAGTCGAAGTTCAACATCCCGACTCTCCCCGTTCTCTCCCCTACTCCCCCTTCCTTCCGCACCTGGAGCTGGCATACTGATACATAAACCCTTGTAGTTAGAGTACAGCCGTGATACATACACGACTGTGCTCTACAGATGACACCTAATTAGGAATACCGTGATGTATCACAGCTGGAATCTCTCATACATCACAGATCCAAGCCCAATGTGGCACTTACCATATGTTTGGATTACTAATCATGAGATTGCTCTGCTTCTTGCTGTATTGGGCACCCTGCTGCACGTCAAAATGGCACGCAACCGTGCATATAGAGGGCAGCAGTCGTTCAATGGGTCGAAGACTCGACACGCTCTCATCAGTGCCCGCGCAATAGATCGCGCGCCACGATGACAGAACCAGGCGCTGGCGGTTCCGTGATATTCGGGGCGGTCGGGGCCGCGTGGTGGGCGCGCTTGGGGCCGCGTGGTGGGCACGCTCGGGGCCGCGTGGCGGGCGCAGTCAGGCACAGCATGAGCCGGTAGTCTGGGCCACGTGGCGGGCTCGGGCACGGGCCGCACGGCACAAGCCGGCTAGGCGCTGGGCGCCACCGCCAGAGCACCTACCCGATTTGGCAGCATTGTGGCGCGCGCCCTGCAGAAACAACAAACCAATTGTATTCTGGCCGTGGACATAGCAATACCTGACATTAACACACAAAAAACTGATTATATAGCTGTAAAAATTTAAATGAGGATAACATCGCTCAGGAATATGTGCAATGTACGCACAAGGTACGGCCGAAGCGGAACGAGGGATCGCTCAGCCAATCAGGAAGCGAATAACGGTCAGCGCAAATTTTGCAACACTCATTTGGCACTCATAGCGGTTAAATCGCTTCGTTTAGTCATGGAGATGTGTCACATACACTATAATATCCTTACTTGGCTAATATTCGAGTGAAGAATACCAATGGGCAACCAACAGTCAAGGTTTCATGCTCGAACACACTCAATTGTACAATAGGAAGTGCATATCACTACGCCGTCAAGTGGCCCTGACAACACCTCAATCTCCCGATGAGGTTTTTTGAAAATATGACACAGTAATGTAAGACGAGGCTATACCGGGCTCTATTCTGTCGATACAAAGCCCGCACGATCCTACATGTCATGTTTTCTATTGGGAGGGTGGCCCGAACGATGAGCGCTAACGCGATCTGCCGCGATCTACCACGATCTGATGTGATCTACAGCATAACACCTCATTTTGTCGGCACAATGTCGAGAGTGTATATACAGTATGGTAAAACGAAGCTATAAGTGGCTCTATTGTTCAATACAAAGCCTGCCCGACCCTCCATGTCATGTTTTACTGCCCCGAGCGATGGGCGCTAACGCAATCTAAAGCGATCTACCACGATCTACCTCGATCTACCCGCCTCGGCTATACCGAATACGGTAACGGTCAACGGCGCTGCGCGCCACTACACCTCCGTTTGCTCCTCACATTCTAGACCAATGCCTCTGTAAATCCATACTCATCCTTGTTTCTATTAAGCTGGTCGGAATTCCTATATATTAGCAAATACAAGCATTATTGTAAGCAAGATGTCACCGGACGCTTATGTAATATTAATGCCGCGTATAGCCGCATACCGCGTGCTGCCAGTTCAAGCGGTCAAGCCACGTGCATAGCCGGATATAGCCGCATCAGAACCGCGCGCTGTGCACCGTGCCACTGGCCGTGCGGAATGGGGCAGGCGCATCATACCCGCCAGATCTGTGCCAGATATAGGCATACAAGCGGTGAGTCAGCCACGCGGTGCAAGCACATGCTCACACTGTGCTTTGATACATTACAGCTACATCTGTAATGTATTCTGTGATACATTGACAGGCCTCGTTTGTGCTACAGGCGTACATGTATCACGGCCGTACTGTAATTACAGTCTCCTGATGTATCAATATGACCTTTACGCCTGCCTTCCGGTTGGTCAGTGAAGCCCCAGCCTCCTTCCCTCACCGTCTCCGCCCACCATGTCACTCCCTGGGCAATCCCCATACGTCGTCCGCTTCTACCGTCTCCTCGAGCTCCTTCGACACGAACGCGACCTGGAACCCCGTCTCCTCCCCCACGATCTGACTGCCTGGCTGGCCTGGGCCCATGGAAGCCGTTGGCTATTGGTGTGCCCTTTTCCTAGGGCTCGTCGTCTCCCACGCTGACTGTACTCCAGCGCATGCTGTTCGAGTCTCGTAGCATCGCCGTAGCCTCCGGGGATATCTCTCTCCCTTCCGTCCGCCAGACACCATCCGTGCACGCCCTGATAGTGTACCTCGACACCATCTTCGCCACCCTTCCTTCCGAGCACGCGTCGTCTCTTCCCGAGCCATACCCCGTCATCGCCTGGTCGCCTAACCGCGTCCTCGCCGAGCAGAGCATTGCTGAGGAAGGTGCTCCACTCCCGGCCATTTCCTATCGCAACAGTCCGCTCGCTTTATCGAACCAGCGCGCTTCTTCCGTCGGATGGGACGTCGTCACCGACCAGCTGGAAGCTCTTAGTGATGCTCAGTGTTCGACCACCGACGCCCTTGACCAGCTCGATGGTGGGCTAGCCACGCTCTCTGCCGCGGTCCAAGGTATTCAAGACCAGCTGTCACACGGGCTGTACCTTCCGGACGATTATTCCGGAATTCCTCGTCGTTTAGTCTTCGCCACGTCTAGGGGTTCGATGGCTCTTAATCCACGCCCCATGGGCTTCACGCGTAGCGTTGCTGATGCTGCTGCTGACCGAGAGGCTGGAGGGTCCGGAAGGAACGGGGACGGAGGGAACGTTCGTAACGCAAGCCCTTCGCTCAACTGACCCCATGTAGTCGTCCGTGGCACCTTCTGTAACCGTGTGCTTGGCTTAGTTGGAATCTATTTGGCCCGTTCGTGTTGTGTTCCCCAAGTCCGTACTTCTCGGAGATGCCTTGCGCCGTATTGCTGTCCCATTTCTCGCCCTGACGCGTTCGTATGTTGTCGATTCCGTGCGTAGACCGTGGGCCATGCCCACAACGCGCAGGGATTTCATTGGCCAGAAGAAGAGAAGCTATTCGAACATATCCTCCACCTCAATGAGAACACACTTGCCTTTAAGGAATCACAATGTGGAACATTCAAAGAGGATTATTTCACACCGTACATCATTCTGGTCGTCCCGCACGAGCCATGGGAATATGCAAACATTCCCATTCCGCCTGGCATCAAGGAAAAGGTCATTGCACTACTCAAGGAGAAGATCTCGGCTGGTGTATACGAGCCTAGCCAGGCGTAAAGGTCATATTGATACATCAGGAGACTGTAATTACAGTACGGCCGTGATACATGTACGCCTGTAGCACAAACGAGGCCTGTCAATGTATCACAGAATACATTACAGATGTAGCTGTAATGTATCAAAGCACAGTGTGAGCATGTGCTTGCACCGCGTGGCTGACTCACCGCTTGTATGCCTATATCTGGCACAGATCTGGCGGGTATGATGCGCCTGCCCCATTCCGCACGGCCAGTGGCACGGCGCACAGCGCGCGGTTCTGATGCGGCTATATCCGGCTATGCACGTGGCTTGACCGCTTGAACTGGCAGCACGCGGTATGCGGCTATACGCGGCATTAATATTACATAAGCGTCCGGTGACATCTTGCTTACAATAATGCTTGTATTTGCTAATATATAGGAATTCCGACCAGCTTAATAGAAACAAGGATGAGTATGGATTTACAGAGGCATTGGTCTAGAATGTGAGGAGCAAACGGAGGTGTAGTGGCGCGCAGCGCCGTTGACCGTTACCGTATTCGGTATAGCCGAGGCGGGTAGATCGAGGTAGATCGTGGTAGATCGCTTTAGATTGCGTTAGCGCCCATCGCTCGGGGCAGTAAAACATGACATGGAGGGTCGGGCAGGCTTTGTATTGAACAATAGAGCCACTTATAGCTTCGTTTTACCATACTGTATATACACTCTCGACATTGTGCCGACAAAATGAGGTGTTATGCTGTAGATCACATCAGATCGTGGTAGATCGCGGCAGATCGCGTTAGCGCTCATCGTTCGGGCCACCCTCCCAATAGAAAACATGACATGTAGGATCGTGCGGGCTTTGTATCGACAGAATAGAGCCCGGTATAGCCTCGTCTTACATTACTGTGTCATATTTTCAAAAAACCTCATCGGGAGATTGAGGTGTTGTCAGGGCCACTTGACGGCGTAGTGATATGCACTTCCTATTGTACAATTGAGTGTGTTCGAGCATGAAACCTTGACTGTTGGTTGCCCATTGGTATTCTTCACTCGAATATTAGCCAAGTAAGGATATTATAGTGTATGTGACACATCTCCATGACTAAACGAAGCGATTTAACCGCTATGAGTGCCAAATGAGTGTTGCAAAATTTGCGCTGACCGTTATTCGCTTCCTGATTGGCTGAGCGATCCCTCGTTCCGCTTCGGCCGTACCTTGTGCGTACATTGCACATATTCCTGAGCGATGTTATCCTCATTTAAATTTTTACAGCTATATAATCAGTTTTTTGTGTGTTAATGTCAGGTATTGCTATGTCCACGGCCAGAATACAATTGGTTTGTTGTTTCTGCAGGGCGCGCGCCACAATGCTGCCAAATCGGGTAGGTGCTCTGGCGGTGGCGCCCAGCGCCTAGCCGGCTTGTGCCGTGCGGCCCGTGCCCGAGCCCGCCACGTGGCCCAGACTACCGGCTCATGCTGTGCCTGACTGCGCCCGCCACGCGGCCCCGAGCGTGCCCACCACGCGGCCCCAAGCGCGCCCACCACGCGGCCCCGACCGCCCCGAATATCACGGAACCGCCAGCGCCTGGTTCTGTCATCGTGGCGCGCGATCTATTGCGCGGGCACTGATGAGAGCGTGTCGAGTCTTCGACCCATTGAACGACTGCTGCCCTCTATATGCACGGTTGCGTGCCATTTTGACGTGCAGCAGGGTGCCCAATACAGCAAGAAGCAGAGCAATCTCATGATTAGTAATCCAAACATATGGTAAGTGCCACATTGGGCTTGGATCTGTGATGTATGAGAGATTCCAGCTGTGATACATCACGGTATTCCTAATTAGGTGTCATCTGTAGAGCACAGTCGTGTATGTATCACGGCTGTACTCTAACTACAAGGGTTTATGTATCAGTATGCCAGCTCCAGGTGCTGCAGCCACTCAACAAAGTAACTATCCGCGATGCTGGTCTACCTCCAAAGGTAGATGAGTTTGTGGAGGACTTTGCGGGACGAAAGTGCTATACTGTCTTTGACTTGTTCTGGGGCTTTGATGCTCGAAAGGTACACCCCATGAGCAGGGACATGACATCGTTTCAGACTCCGCTAGGACTGGTGCGCATCACATCGCTGCCTATGGGGTTCACCAACTCTCCTGCAGAATTCCAGACATGCATGGCCTTCATTCTTCAGGATGAAATCCCTTCCACAGCCAACATATTCATCGATGATCTGCCAATACGAGGACCTGCAACAGACTATCCAGATGAGAACGGAGACCCAGAAGTACTCCATGAGAACCCAGGAATCCGACGGTTTGTCTGGGAACATGCCAATGATGTTCATCACATTATGCACCGAGTGGGACATGCAGGAGCAACATTTGCACCTAGTAAGGCTCAGATCTGTTGCCCTGAAGTGGTCATCGTAGGACAAAAATGTACCCCCGAAGGAAGGCTCCCTGAACCCAACAAGGTTGACAAGATCCTCAACTGGCCAGTACTCAAGAATGTTCACGACATCCGCGCTTTCATGGGCCTATGTGGCACTGTTCGCATATGGATCCACAACTACTCCAAAGTTGCTCGTCCATTGACTCAGCTCCTGCACAAAGATGCTGAGTTTGAATGGACTCCGCTCTGCCAAGAAGCCTTCGATGCCCTCAAGACAGCTGTCATCTCAGCACCAGCACTTCGCCCAGTCGACTACAGCACTGACAATCCAGTAGTACTCTCGGTGGATTCCAGCAAGTATGCAGTCGGATTCATCTTGTCACAATATGATGAAGCTGGACGCAAGCGACCTGCTCGGTATGGATCAATACCCATGTCGGAACGAGAATCACGCTATTCGCAGCCAAAGTTGGAACTATATGGCCTGTACCGCGCACTCAGAGCATACCAACTATATCTCACTGGAGTCAAGAACTTGGAGGTTGAAGTGGATGCTAAGTACATCAAAGGAATGCTGAATGAACCAGACCTACAACCTAATGCCACAATCAACCGATGGATACAAGGTGTTCTCTTGTTCACATTCAAACTCATTCATGTGCCCGCGGAACGACATCGAGGACCCGATGCTCTGTCTCGATGCCCCTTAGGAGAAGGAGAGGAGGTTGAAGAAGATGATGACTCTTGGCTGGATGACACAGCCTTGTATGCGGAGATCCGCGACCGTCAGAACAAATGGAGCAAGCCTCAAGACCGGCCATATGAAGCACTGCTCAGCGCAAGTCATGCTGATGTGTTCATTTCAGCTAATACCAAGGCAGACAAGGTGCTTCATCAATACCAGAAGTTCCTGACAACAGCAGCAATCCCTGAGTTGCCTACTCAACAAGCAAAGCGAAGGTTCATTCAAGGAGCAAGCCGGTACTTTGTTAGGAATGGGAAGCTATATCGACGCAATGGATCACAACCCCCACATTTGGTGATTCTCAAGGCTGAGAAGCGCCTGTAGATCCTTACTCAGTCACATGAAGGATTAGGCCACCGAGGAGAACAAGCCGTGATGCATACCGTCAAAGAGCGATTCTATTGGCCTAGCATGTGGAACGACATACGACACCATGTACGATCTTGCAAGCAGTGTCAGATCCGCAGTGTGCGCAAGGTAGAAGTACCCCTCATGGTCTCAACCCCAGCAACTATCTTCACGAAGGTCTACCTTGATATCATGGAGATGCCAAAAGCCAATAGCTTCAAATACGTCATTGCTGCCCGAGATGATCTGTCAAGAGCTGGAGAAGGAAGGTCACTGAGGAACAAGAAGGCAAAATCAGTGTCGATCTTCTTCTTTGAGCAGATCCTATGCCGATACGGAGCAGTTGGAGAAGTTGTGACTGACAATGGCCCTGAATTCAAGGAAGCATTCCAGCTTCTGATGAACCGATACAAGTTGCCACAGATCAAGATTTCAGCTTACAACTCAAAGGCCAATGGAGTAGTGGAACCAGGTCATTTCATCATTCGGGAATCAATCCTCAGGTCATGCGAAGGCAATGTGGACAAGTGGCCTGACTATGTTCAGCATGCGTTCTTCACTGATCGTTGTGGGAGAGAAAGCGTGCGTCGACGACCAACACACACAAACTCGTCTCCGGGTGCAGGTGTTCAGTAGAGTCGACGATGGGTGTTCGGGCTGGTGAGAGGACGGCGGCGATGTTCTGTGTGGAGTAGTGTGGCCGCGCGGAAACAAATGAACACTTATCTTATCTTCTCGACTACTCGACTAACTCGACTTGAGGTGCACGCGCGACGTCGAGTCGCTCGTCCGTGCCGAACCTTGAAGTGCGCGTGAGCGAGAGGGGAGAAGCTGGGGGATCAGATTAACTGGCGAGAACGGGCGACGCGGCCCTCTATAAGTACACGCAGCGCAACGAGAGCGAGAAGGAACTAAGGAGCAAAGGATGACGCAAGGGGAGATGAGGTAAGTTCGAAAGGAAAGGTGATGAGTGACAGGCAAGCGATCGTTGACAGATCGGGAAGGAATATTACCGAATAAGGAAAGTAACGTATGAGACACCCGCCCGGGTGACGACGTCCGTTGGTTCCCCTTCCGGCTTCGGACGGCGGACCATAGTCTCGGCGCAGGGCTGACAGCGGCGGAGCGGTGCTATTGACGTTCACGACCTGGGCCCCCGACAGGTGCGGCACTCTGCTCGACGTCGCCCGCCTTCGCCCTACGGTCGGTCCTCCGCCTCCGCCTTCCGGTTCCTCGCGAGCGCGCCGGTAGAGTCGATGGTACAGTAGATTGATGTTTTTATCGTAGGTAACGTCTGCATGCGAAATGATATAAGCTAACACTGCAAAGAGAGAGAATAGTAGTAAAACCGTGACGCTACGCGTCGATCTAGACCTCGGCCGGATTTCTCCTCCACATCGTGTCACAGTTAGTCAGTCTACTGGCTTCTCACCGTACTATCTTCTGTATGGTGTAGAACCAGTACTACCATTTGACCTAGCAGAAATGACTTTGCTGGTAGATGGCTTTCACTCAGGAATGTCTACCTCAGACTTGCTCGCACTACGCAT